TGTGCTTTTACAGTTCAAATCACTTCCCAGGTGCACACAGATTGAACTGGCACACATAGTTGACACTCTTTCCATGGAAAAGTCCAGAGCTTAGCTGGATCCAGAATGCCTAAGACCAAGCCATGGCTCTTCTATTGTCTTGTGCATGACACTTGGTAACCTGTTTGAGCTTCAGTTTCTTCATCGGTCAAGTGGCGTGAATGATGAGACGTCATAAAATTGGTATGAGGATTCAATGAGATAATCTGAAACAGAACAGCATCTGACACGTAATAAAACTCAACATAGGCTATTTTCACTTCAATATCTTGACTGTGACATATGGCATTATGATTCCTTAAACTTATTCTCCTCCATACTACATTTCAAAATGAGTATAGTAACATCTCTGAGTTATTAATCAGGCAAGTTTTTCTTCAAATAACAATCCAAAAAGGAAGTTACAGATATACCTTAGTGGTGTATGAGGTGTGTCTAATGGATTAACCATTAATCCTAGTGTGTAAAACCTGAACTCTGGGTGGCAAGGCTAGAAGGGATTTGAGAGACTATCTTGCTAGTCCCAGCCTTGTATGACACAGGAGGACTCAGAAAGCCTGGAGAAGGTAAGTGCCTGCCCTAAGTCTGCCCTGGCCTGCATTTGCCCAGCTAGAATCATGTCACTATTTATATGGTTTGGATTCATTGGCTATGATCAGAAAATATTACGATAATTAGGAAATCAAGATTGTGATTAAAGATTAATGTTATCTGGTCAGCTATGTAAAATACGTGTGAACTGGCAACAAGAATATTCTCACTTGAGACCATGACTGGGAGGACTCTTGGTTAGTTTATATATGAAGAACTTGCCAGACTTAACTTGACCAACCACTTCTTTGGTTTAGTGGGTGGAGCCAGTCTTCCTCATTGGTTAAACAGATTCAACCCAAGTATAAGTGGAAAAAATATATGCTCTCTGTCATTTAGGGCTGCAGAGAGTGGCGACTAGTTGGAGGGACGAGAAGTATCAGAACATGAGTTCCAAGACAAAATCCGTAGGGGTCATTGGAGCTCCTTTCTCAAAAGGACAGGTGAGTAAAAAAAACCTGGCTGTGAGTAACTGAATTTCAGAAGGTTTTGGACTTTACAACGACTAATGTGTGAATGTCTGGTTAGTAACGTTCTATGATAAAATCTAATTCTGAAATATGTATATTTATTTCCACCTATTATTTTGCGAATTCGCATAATTATGGCAAACCCACCAATTCTTGCAATACTCAGCCACTATTTTACTTGAATATTAATTTTTTCTTTATATATTTTTAAGAGAATGTCTTTATTTGCATGGAAATGAACAACATTGCAGTGTAGTTACAAGATTTAGCTTTCCATCTTTGTATTGCTTTGTATTGCTTTGTATTGCCTTTGTCATTACTGTGTATATGCAGAAAGAAAATTTTAACACATTTGTTTAGCTATGCTTTAATACCTAGGAATGGTTCATAGCTTGACAGCAACATTCAGATTCATTTCAATTTGGATGACCTAAATGTTATTGTTTTATACAACTTTGTGAATGACTCCTATTATTTGAGGAGTTTAATAATTCTTTAAGAGTGTTAGTTCTGGACTAGATAGAATCCTTTGTGTACCTCTTTCTGAGGGAGAAAAAAGAAAAATAAACGAAAGAGACTTTGACTCCAAGTTAGCAGCATTGAAAGAACGGATGGATTTATGAAACTCCCAGATTGCCAAAACATGCCACAACACCGGCAACATTTAAATTTAAGTACGGGGTTGGTTTTTGGCCTGGACACATTGTGATTACACACACCTTAGGTTTCCAGTGTGTTTGTGCTAGAGAGGATGGAGAAAAGGAACAAAAAATGAAAGCAAATGAGTGAGATAGAAACTCCGAAGGTTGATTTTTTTTGGCCATTATTTTAAGTGGTGAATTCTCCAGCTTTCTCATAATTCTCTTTGTCTACCTGGAGAGCATGTATGTCTTCTGTTTGGTACTTTTGCTTTGCACTCTGGCTTTTCGTTGCAAAACAAATAGGGAAGTCAGAGGTTAGAAACCTGACCTGCATTTGTACTGTCAGTAATTACTGTTCTGCTTCCCGCAGAAATCCTTCAACTGTCCCTCCCAAAACCCAGGGACCTATCGCTGACAGGAAAGTCCTTCTTTTAATCGTGGGGTTAATTGCCAAATCCACAATGTCTGACCTATTCTTGGGATAGGTTCTCACAAACATAGAGTTGAAATAAGTGACCCCCACCCAAAAAAAAAAAAAAAAAACAGCGGGGAAAGGGAAGGCAGGTAGAGTTTGGAAGGAAGGGAAAGCCTAAATTCACTGCGGCCCCTGTATCTCTGCAGAATTTATGCTGATAAAACAGCCCTTTGAGAGGAGAGCATTTTGAAGTAAAGTTTGATTCATCTTCTGTTCGCAGTATTTCTTTTTGTTTCCCATGCAACCCATGCCCCATTAAAACATGGTCCCCTGAGAGTAAAGCTTGTCTCCTTATAGAAAGGAATCAGAGAGCCTTTACTACACTAAACCATAGTGTGTGTGGTGGGGGGAAGGCCAACATATAAACAACTGTTTCCACTTCAAAGAAGTAAAAATTTGACAAACAGGCAAACGAGAGGATTAGTGAGTAGATGGCAGGCTGAGTCTGAGAAAGACTCTATCCCCTGCCTCACTTCCTTGCAAGGCAGCAGGAGAATAAGTCAGGTGGTGAAGAATGAGGGAGGTAATATGTATATTTAATTGCTGGGTTAACTAGGGCTCAGAGAGATTTGGTGATTGGCTCAAGGACACACAGCCTGATGGTGATTCCAGAAAAATAAACAAAGAGACTTTGATTACAAGTTAGCAGCATTGAAAGAACGAATGGATTTATGAAACTCCCAGATTGCCAAAACATGCCACAACACCAGCAACATTTAAATTTAAATAAGGGGTTGTTTTTTTTTTGGCCTGCATACATTGTGATTACACACACCATAGATTTCCAAATCGTGTGCACCTGACCCATGTTGATGCCTTTTTAGAGACTCAAGCTTTTACACTGGTGGCCAGTCAGGGGTTGAGACCCAAGTTCAAAGTCAGTGGTGCTAACAAAATGATTTCCAAAGTGAGCAGCAAGACAAGCAGTGAGAAAACATCCATCTTGAGAAGCAGTTTGAATCAAGCAAATACAAAATAAGACTAGAAAATATTACCCTGGAAACTTAACAAGGTGTTAGAACAAACACTGCATCAACAAAGTCTAAAAGATTTGTTTTAAAGTTTGAAAGAGAGGGAATAAAGACTAGGGAGTTTTATTAAATTGACAATTACTGAAATCCTACTGTCACTGCACAACACACTACAAAATATAGTGCCCCAGGTGTAGGGAGTGGTAGACTGAGGTTTAGTATTGGAGACAAACGCACAAAATCGAAGGCAATATATGAGCCGAGCAGCATCCTGTTGGGTTTTGGAGAGGGAGAAATTAGATCTACATTACAGGAAGTTGGGAGGGCATGTGAAAAAGGAATGGAGGAAAGGATCTAAGCGTGTTGGGCAAAGGGGGAGCCTTGATGCCAGGGATGGGAATTTGACATTGAGGATTTGCTGGAAGGCTGGGCCAGTCACTTGGTAAATTGAATTAGGAAAAAATATTTTCTTAGTTTGGTGCCACGTGTCTAGCCCACAGTCCCTGTCTTGGTGTATCATCGGCATATCTCTTCTGACTAAAAGAAATAGCTTTCTATATCTAGAAGCCTTGTTGGAAAGTAGAATCAGAGAGAAACATTAAAAAAACCTGTTTCTGGGGCCTCCCCGGTGGCTCAGCGGTTGAGCACTGGGTTGCGAAGCTGCCCGCAGACTCTGCACCGCCGGTTCGATCCCCGGCTGCTCCCCGGCCACCGGAGGAGGGTCCCACATGGCACGCAGACCTCTCCTGCCGCCCACTGCTCCCCTCAGCAGTGTACTTCGGTCCTTCTGCCTGCTCTGCTCCCCGCTCTGGCTCTGGTGAATTCTCTCACCCTCCCGCGATTCTGACTGTACCCAGTGCTTGTATAAATAAATAAATAAATAAATAAATAAATAATAAATCTTAAAAAAAAAAAACCTGTTTCTGTAGATCTCTAACCTCTCAGGAGATGGGAGAAGACTTACCTTTGAGGAAGAAGTGTATTAGCTTCCCTGATGTAAAAATAGCCAGGTGGAATTCACCAAATGTACTTAAGCAAGTCAAAACTTGAAATACCAGGTTGGTCTTAGTGGTTTAGCTCCTAGGTGATGATTTTCCCTAAGAACCCTAACTTAACTTCTTCTGAGAGTACCTGCATGTAGGTTTCTCTCCTGCTATGCTCTTTTATTTTTTCTTTTGCCTTGGCCCAAGCTGTTTTCCTGGTTTGCAAAGTTTCTTCATCACTCTAGTCATCTACCTGAACAACACTTATGTTGTAAAACTCAGCTTAGATGTCAGCTATCCAGCTTTCCTGACACTCTGTCCTCACCGGAGTTATGAGGATCCTGTTTTTGTTGTTATGGCATATTGAATTTGCACTGAAGCAATCTCCATGTACTGTAATTGCAGTTAAATATCCAAGTATTGTATTACCTGAGGAGTTACTCAAAGGCAGAAGTCCTCTTCTTTAAGTTATTGTATCAAATGATTGTGTCAAAATGCTTTTGAATAAAATATGTGTTGATGAAATGGTGTAATGGGAAGAGGAGATGCAGGTTTTGGAATCCAAAGAACCTGGATATGATCTAAGTCTCTGCCACTTGTTAACTGTTTGCCTGTAGGAATATTATATAACCTTTCTGTCTCTAGTTAACATAGGAGTGATTCAATTTACCCTACTGTGATGATTAAATGAAATAATGTAAATTCCTGGTTCTGGAGGGACCAAAAAAATGGTAGTTACTTTACAGCAGGTAAAATAATGAAAAGGGTTCCTATTATTGTATCTGATGGTCATGATAATGTCTGACTTGCATTATTTTTTTATTGTTCAGCCACGAGGAGGCGTGGAAGGAGGCCCTCTGGCATTGAGAAAGGCTGGTCTGCTTGAGAAACTTAAAGAACAAGGTAATATGACTTCCTTCCCACTGTGAAGGAAGCAGCAGGCTCCTGCTGGGGTGTGTCTGGAGTGACACACAGAATGATAACAGAGGCTACAACCTTAGAAGCACATTCTACAAAAGAAGTAGTGCGTGGGGAGAATGCTCAGTAAATATTGTTGCATGAATAGCCTCACTCAGGTATTTTGTCTCTCCACCCAGTCTGTTGCTTAAGAGTGTGAGTGCAAGAACTAGGGCTGGGTAGGTAGTAGGGATTCAGGGGGATTGAAAATGAAAGATAGGGGGCAACAAGGACACACTCCTTGTAAGAAGAGCCCTATTTGTACAAGGAAATGCAATAAAACAGTAGTAATAGTAATGCTCTGTGTTTGCACAGTGCAGTGGGCTGACACATACACGTGAGCATGTAAATGAAAAGTTATGTGTGTCATAGGAGCATAGGCTAAAGTAAATGCCTTTATATATAAAGCCCCGATGAGGTTTGGTGAGGATATGGAGTAATTGGAGCCGTGATGCATTTCTGATAGGAATGCATGCTCTTTTGGAAAGCATCTTGGTAGTTTTTTAATAAGCATGCATTCACCTTTTGACGCAACACATTTACAATTAGGAATTTACCCAGGAGAAGTAAAAATGTAGGTCCAAATAAAATCTAGCAGCATTTTTTAATAAGAACCCAGAAATGGAAACAACAGAATGTCCACTGACCGGTCAGCGGATAAATAAAAAGTGGTGCTTCCTTACTATAGTAATAATATTCAGCTGTAAGAAGGCACAAGCACCTGGGAAGGCAAAAACAGGTTGAAAGAGGCCAGGCACAAAGACGGCATACATTGCATTTACATGAGATTCTAGAAAATACCAAAGCAGATCAGCAGTTGCCTGGGGTTGGGGTAGGGAATGACTGCAAAGAGGTAAGAGAGAACTTTGGGGGGTAATGGAAGTGCTTTTAGACTTGATTATGGTGGTGTTTGCAAGTCTGTAGATATTTCTAAAACTCGTTGACCTCATGCTTAAAGTGAGTGAATTTTAGTGAATAAAAATTATACTTCATAAAGCTAAAAAAAAATAAGACTACAACAGAGAACAGAAGGGTGGATGGACTGCACAAGTCTGTGAGTTCATAAGCATATCTATTTTGTCTATATTTTATATCAGGTTAAATCTCTTGAAGGTGTTACTGAATTATGGAAATAGATATGTAATAAGCACAGTATTCAAGGACTGGTTAGTTCTGAACACTGAACTGGCCCGTATCTCAGTTTTACACGAAATTTTGTAATTTGAGGCCTAATATAGGGCCTTTTAGGAGGTGCAGCTAGGTCCTTAAGAGATTTATATTGCCTGCAAATTCTCCTTATTAAAAAAGTATAATAATAAATCCTTTATTTCCTGAGCTTTCCAAAGTGTTAGGTTTAGTGCTAAGTAAATGTTCCTTTTTTTTTTTTTAAGATTTTTTTATTTATACAAGAACCGGGGTACAGGCCAGATGTGCAGGAGGGTGAGAGGATTCAGAGACAGAGTGGGGAGCAGAACAGGCAGACCGACAAAATACACTGCTGAGGGGAGCAGCAGGAGAGACAGGAGAGGTCTGCCGCACCATGTGGGATTCTCACAGGCTGGGATCAAACCCATGCTGCCGAGGCTGCAGACAACTTCACAGTGCGGCGCTCAACCGTCTGCGCCACCAGGGAGGCCCATACATGTCCTTAATTATGAGACAGATACAATGGACAGAGGAGGAAGCTTCAGCAGGTGACAAATGAACTGAAACAAAGCATGGAGAGTAAAATGCAGAAAATACATATTCTTTCCATTTCAACTATTTCTTTATTACAGATCTAAAATATGTTTGTGTGGAAAAGCAGAAAGCACATAATCAGAGAGAGAGAGAGACAAAAATAGTGACGTCACCCATGAGTTCCAAACTAAAAGTTTACCACTGTTATATGTTGGTCTCTGGTCTAACTCGATCCATTCAAGAAGAATTTACAGTAGGCACCCACTGTGACAGTGCTGGTGAGATGATCCCTGACAAAAGTAGACATGGTTTCTACCTTCATGGAATTTATAGTCCTTCGGCCTTTTCTCTGCTTCCACTTTAGAAAATGCACCTATTTTCAAATTTGGAATCAACTTGTGCAAACTGTTCGGTAATCTTTTTTTTCTTAGTAACTTGATACTTTCAATTTTAATTATAGAGTGTGATGTGAAAGATTATGGGGACCTGCCCTTTGCTGATGTCCCTAATGACAGTCCCTTTCAAATAATGAAGAATCCAAGGTCTGTGGGAAAAGCAAACGAACAGCTGGCTGGTGCGGTGACAGACGTGAAGAAGAATGGAAGGATCAGCCTGGTCCTGGGTGGAGACCACAGGTCTTGTTGAATGATTGTCTCTTGGGAGTCTGGTACACATGGCTACAAGAAATATAATCAAAACCAGGAGAAGGGAGAAAAGTGTGGAAAGGAAAGCAGTGGTCATTATTTTATACCTTATTTTATGTATTTTTCTTTAAATTTTATAGATTGCTACTTTATTTTGGAAATAGAGATAGCTTTATTTAAAGTTTTGAAATATCCTTATTACAGAAGAAAATACATGAATTATGAATAGATTTCAGTAAAATGTTCAAACCAGACTTACATTTCTGAATAGATAAGCACTCAGGAAATTCATAGTTTGTTGTACCTGATTACTGATAATGGAAGGAACTTATTTAGCTAAACATTTAAAAGAACATGCTCTCTAGGGTAAAATAATAATTATAAAATTTTGAAACACACACACACACACACACACACAGATTTGTTTCCTAACAACAGTTTTAACTAGAATTAAAAAGCTGGCAAATTTTTTCCTTGTTCATGACTTTAACAATTATGTGTGTGTTATCTTATTTTTTGTTCTCATTGTAGAGTGTAAATTTCCTTATTATTTTACAATTATATATGTGTAAATTTTTTACTGCTGCATAATTTTCCATCAAGGCAATATATCCATATCCACATTGTCAGATACTCAGTTATTTTTAAATTTTCACCATTATAACTAATGTAGTGAAGGTGATTTTTGTGGATGCATCTTTTTAATGTTTACTGTCAAGGTTCCAGGATATGTTACCAAAAGTATTACTGGGTGATAAATATAAACATTACAATGGCTTTTGATGTAAGAGTCAACTGTGTCAGCTCCTTTGGTTTTCTCCTCTAAAATCAAACTTACCAGGGCTTCTGTAATAACAGTACTATTGAGAAACTAGGGATCATTTTATTTAAGTGGAAAAATTTGTAGGTGGAAATTTTAAGAGTGGTGAATGACCAAAAACTGAAGAACATTAAGGGAAAACAACCATAAAGCTGAATAATCAGTATCTGACCATTGAGACATAATGGATTCCACTTTGGGAAATTCCTCATTCTCTAAACGATCCTTGAACATTTATGAATGGGAAGAATACAAGCATTGTATGGCAAACTCCAGTCTTTCCACTTTTGTGAAAGGTATTTCTTGCTTCCATTCTGGCAACATTTCTAGAGGATGGAGTGTTGGAGACGAACTTTGAGAGCTTGGACCTGGCTACAAGGGGTCTTTAAATGTGTGGCAGGAGAGTGGAAAGTTCAAGCAGAAGGTCTGAGCATCGAGCAGTGAGGGAGCACTGGGATATGCTGGCTGAGGTGGACGTGAGAACTTCTGAGGGATATTCTCCTTTTGTAAAAGAATTTAATTTAAAGAAAAGTGGAAGCGCTCTCTCATAATTCATTTGGGAGAATCAAATATTTACCAAGAGAGATAAGAGTGAAGAAGATGGGCCTAATTTAACTCTGAAAATTGAAGTGCTAAGTATTTCTTGTGTGGTTAGTGCTTTTATACACATTTAATCTTTGGTTAAAGTATAATTTGCAATTTTATTAGAAGGCAGTTTAGAAAAAAAATCACAAATTTTAGTAATGTCATTGATATAAATACAACTTGCTAGTAAGTCTTAAGCACAAACAATAGCTTATCTATGAATATGTTGTTTAATTGGCATACCTAATCTAAAACCTATCAGGAACATCAGCTACTTTGACATAAAGGACAATCAAATGGGAGCATTAATTAATAATGAGTCTGTAATGATATTACAAATCTGATGTTCACATAAACTTCTTTTCCTTCCAAGTTTGGCCATTGGGAGCATCTCTGGCCATGCCAAGGTCCACCCTGATCTCTGTGTGGTTTGGGTGGATGCTCACACGGACATCAATACTCCACAGACGACCTCCAGTGGGAACTTACACGGACAGCCTGTGTCTTTCCTCCTGAAGGAACTAAAGAGCAAGGTAAAAGGCTCTTTGGTATTCCATTACCAAAGAATAGTATTCCAAAGAATAGTATTCCAAATAGTATCCAAATAGTATCCAAATATCCAAATATCCAAATAGTATCCAAATAGTATTCCAAAGAATAGTCTTCCAGTGGAGGGGAGGTAAGGACAGCTGTGCTCTCTTATTCTTGGTATAATATCAAACCATCTCTGCAGCCAATAAACAAAGCATTGGCAGATAAAGGTGTACTTGAGTTTTCAAAGTGACTTTATAGCTCTTGTCTTTTTGATTTTTAAATTACCCTATTCAGTAGATGGTGCAGATAATAATCCTTTATAAGCAGATTAGTAGAGGTTCAGAGGTTAGCTAATTTGCCCAAGATTGCATGTCAAGCTGCCACAGACAGCCAGACAGCTGATGACGTTCTCAGGTATTAACAAAGACGTGGAGTCTAAATGAATTTGCCTGCAGGTGGCTAGGCAGGGGGGTGGCTAGGGAGAGTGCCATCGAGAGCAGCTCTGCCTTTTACTCTCCCAGGCCAAGCTTTTATTAAAGATATGAACAAAGGAACAAGAAAAAAAGCACACAGTTGTGTTTATGCTTATACAAATTAATAAGTTACTGCTAGCACAAGTTTTTCTAGCTAGTAGGGAACATGCATACAAGCCAGTACGTCCTCAGAGAACAGTAGTCAATTCTGGGAAGAAGTTCTGTTTACAGAACTTCTAACCTCCTGGAACTCCATATGCAGAGTAAACACGTATTCTCAGAAAACCCCAGCTCCCTTTAGGGCAGCAAGCCCCCAACATCAAACATGCAACCAGGCAAGAGTCCAAATTGTTTTCCTAATGCCTATCTCTTCCCACCACAACCACAAAGCCTCATTCTTACCACGTCTCTTCCCCACATCAATAGGGTCTTTGCACAAAAGGAGTTCTAAATGAAGACGACAACAGTTGATAATTTAGAATCTTTACTGTGAGAAGTACATATAATAAATCATTATACGAAGAACCACCTCCTTGCTCCCTACAAACTCTTTCAAAAGATGTAAAATGAAATTCCCAGATTAAGATTTAACTTTGTGGTTCTTAATTTTTATTGGTATACTGTAGTATTTCAATAGAACAATCTTAACCAATATAGCTGCGGTATAGTGGTCTTTAGGATACTTAAGGATTCAAACCTCCTTATGTAAAATTCTCAGAAGTACATTTTTTTGAACTGATGACCAAATGATAGCTTTATCAACTTGCAAAGTATCCAGTAGCATGTGGAAACTGCCAAGCTCAGCAAGAAATCTGAAGAGCAAGCAAAGGTCTGGTCAAAAATTTCTCTCAGCAATTATAAGCCATCCTCTGGATTAAGTCTTTATTGAGAAAGAAGTAAAGAAGGAAGCTATGTAAGTAACAGAAAAACAGAACTCCTTATCTGAGTTCTGAGAAAGCAGAACCCAGTGAAAATGGAGCACAGAGTCGATTAACCCTGACCGTTGACACAGGTTGGTCTGGGCCACAGGGTGAGGCCAAGTAAGGCCATAGCACTCAAGGGCAGTATAAGGGGAGGAAAATATTCTCTTCTTAATTTTGTAATGATTTCCTCAAAATGTATGTTCTAAATATAAGTACAATCCAACAAGTGTCTTTAACTTTCAGTGCAAGGTTTCCTCAAGAGAAACAAATATAACTAACTGGAAATATTGCAATTATTTAGATCCCTGATGTACCAGGATTCTCCTGGGTGACTCCCTGCCTATCTGCCAAAGATATTGTGTATATTGGCCTGAGAGATGTGGACCCTGGAGAACAGTAAGTTTATTTCTCGATGTGACTTACTTATCTTCATTGTCCTTTTGTGTACTAGGTGTGCTTTGTTGGGCAAACTTAAGAGGAAAATTACTTTAAGCGCCAAGTCTCTATCTATCTAGAATTATCTATCTACCCATCCAACCATCCTTCCATCCACCCCTCTATTATTTATCATCTTATATTATGTATAAAGTTATAGATAATAATATAATAATAAATTTATGTACATGTACATACATATATATGTGTGTACTCAGGTGATTTTTATCTTAACTCACCAGCTGTTTTATACACACACACACGTGTATATATACACACACATATATATACATACATATACATATATATACACATACTTCACAGAACCTAAATATTTTTTGTATGCTTTGTACTATATCTATCTTTTCTTTAAAAGAAAATTAGGGGGCCTCCCCCCAGTGGCGCAGCGGTTGAGCGCTGGGCTGCGAAGCTGCTCGAAGCCTCTGCAGCGCTGGTTCAATCCCTGGCCCCTGGCGAGGGTCCCACATGGCGCAGACCTCTCCTACTGCCTGCTGCTCCCCTCAGCAGTGTGTTTCATCGGTCTGTCTGTTCTGTTCCCTGCTCTGGCTCTGGTGAATTCTCTCATTCTCCCATGATTCTGACTGTACCCAGTGCTTGTATAAATATAAAAATAAATCTTTAAAAAAAAAAAAGGAAAATTATGGCATGGAGTCAATTTCATTATTAATTTTAGATTATCTTAATATTTCTTCTCTTATAGCTACATTTTGAAAACTCTGGGTATTAAATTCTTTTCAATGACTGAAGTGGACAGAATGGGAATTGGCAAAGTGATGGAAGAAACACTCAGCTATCTAATAGGAAGGTATGATGTTTGTGTATGTGTGTATAGCAAAAATTAGTAAAAAGACTTGCTAGTAGTCAACAGAAGTTATTAATAGAGTCTGTAAGTAAAACTATAGAACTTGACTGGGTTGTTACTTTTTATAAAGTAATAACTGCTATTTATCTACTATCAACTTTACACTAAATTCCTTTCCCACCTCTTAAAAGAAAGAAAAGACCAATTCACCTGAGTTATGATGTTGATGGACTGGACCCGGCTTTTACACCTGCTACTGGCACACCAGTCCCGGGAGGTCTGTCTTACAGAGAAGGTCTTTACATCACAGAGGAAATTTACAAAACAGGTAGGTAAAAATCTGAGTGGATAAAAAATATATATTTAGACCTCCCAGATCTGAACTTCAAGGCCCAATGGACACTTCTAAATGCCCATCACATGTTGCAGCCACTCAAGTGTCTTCTGTTGGTCAACCTCTTTACACTCCTAGATAATATTCCAAGTCAGATTGTACTGAATTAAAAAATGTCAACTATTTAATAAATCAAATTATTTCTGTGTTAATAGGGCTACTCTCAGGATTAGATATAATGGAAGTGAACCCATCTCTGGGGAAGACACCAGAAGAAGTAACTCGAACAGTGAACACAGCAGTGGCAATAACCCTTTCTTGTTTTGGTGTGGCTCGGGAGGGCAATCATAAGCCTATTGACTACCTTAACCCACCTAAGTGAATATGGAAACATCATATAAAAATTTCATAGCTAATTACATAATTAGTAAGTCTGATCATTTACTAAACCTTACAGTTATCCTCCCAAAGATTCTTTCAAAAAAAATACTTTGCCTTAGTAAATATTACCACAATTAGGATGAACTGTATCAATTCCCTCTTGGTATGAAATTCAAGAATTTAGACATTCTAACTTGTGAAATGAAAAAGTGTTTATTTCCCATTTTGGCAAAAGAATTATCCAGAGAAAGAACAGTATACATGTATGCCCTTATGAAAATTTGTTGGCATTACAATAAACATACCTATTTAAGTTATACTGAGTGGGGCTCCTGATGTCAGCTCCTAATGCTACCCTACCTGAAAAGGCACCGCATTTCCATGTTGTTAAAAGATGTGATTTTTATAATAAACTTCGTAAGATTGTATCTTGTCTACGTTTCTAAATACATGTTAACACGCACACATATATACATACACCCTATTTAAATCCACTGTATTTTAAAGCTTACAGTGAAATCATTGTTCTTAGTGAAGTCATTTTAAACTCTCTGGGTCTGATTTCTTTATCTAAAATGGGTCATCATAAGGCGTGGGCATCTCCAAATTTATTAATGTTAGATAACCATGTTATACTTTTTCTAAATTTCAACACTTGTTGGTATTTTAAGCATGGTTACCATCTAGGCAGCCTTTTAGAATACACAAAATCAAACTTTTTCCCGCAAGTAATCTAATTCAGATAGAGGTTTCTACCTAAAAGTTATCTTGTGGCTTCCAAACACTCCACCCTTCACTCATTGCAACTGAAATTATTTCTCATCAGCTAAAACCCTTAAAACATCCTAAAAAAGGTAATATAGGCTTTGGGATATGAGTAAAACAGAACAAAAGTTAATGTATGTTTTGGGATATAATGAATAATGTAGAAAAAACAAACTATAAACAAAAGAAGAGAAGCAAACTCTTGCCCTTTTCCCCAACTTATGTAGACCCCAGGTGGACTCTATGATGAAGCTGGTGCCATGAAATGATTTTAATTGCTGTTGATGTAACAACATTCATGTTTAAAAAGCCCTGATTATCTGAATTTTCACATGCAAACCAGAATTTATCTAACTGTTGACACTATGGACTTTGTACGATATTTCAGAAAAGAGAAATTATGATAAATCTTACTCTAGAATTCATTGCCTAGCACAGTAATTATACACGTGGTTGTTTAATTAAAGCTTACTAAAACCAAGCTTAGTTCTACATGTCAAGTTCTCAACAGGCACACGAGGCTTACTGTTGTACAGGATAGCAGGGATAGAGAAGACAGAGCTGCTCTCTAGTTGTTAAAACTTTGGGGATGTAACGAATATAAAGGCATTTTTTTCCTCAGCTATGTTTTAACCCAAATAAAGTTTGTCTGTTATTAATGTCTCTGATTAATAATAATTCTTTCAAAAGGCTATTTGGGGAAATCATATTCCTTTTAAGCAAGAAAGGAAATATTGAATTTTTAATAAATTGGAATGTCTGTCCTTGAGAAACTGGGGACATTGATTTTCACTTCCATAGTTTGTATAATACCACTATCACAATTATTTCCATTCTAGGATCTCAAAGCATATATTTCTTGAGGAAGCAAGAATATATTGAGACTATGCTTCGGATACTTGAAATCATTCCTAGCATAAAATTTCTGAAGAATTTTAAGACTGTTATCAGCTTAGAAAAATTACACCATTAAAAAACTTTAAAGCTGGACTTACATGGCAAAGATTTAATGATTATAAAAACTGACTATAAAAATTATAAAAATACGAGCCATGAAGATAACAGTATTTGGAAATAAAAATTGGAACTGTTACCTAGTTGGTTAAAGTTCAGAAATTCTTTATAAAAATAACCAGAACTCTTTAATTCCCAGGTCAATGGCAGTTACCAATTGTAGTGTACAACTCATGCAAATAGCCAGTTCTTTACAATCCTGTCAGCACACTGCCTGGCACACACAGACACCCATTCAAATTCAATAATCAGACAGTTTAATTTATTCAATAGATTTTACTAATTACTTTTCAAATATTTTACAATCTTAATGCCATTTTCCTTTCAAATTAACAGCATGTCTCTCAAAATCTAATAAATCCCAAAGAACCAAAATGCATACTATACTTAAAAATATAAATATTTAAAAGTTTTAAGATCATGAAAATTCCAAGAATGTCTCATCATCTGCCAGGTAACAGTTTCAAACTGAAAAGCAATCAATTTATTTTTAAAAGAGAATGAATAATTGCCATTTAAGCATGATTTTATTAAATGATGCATTTCCAGCTATGCTATTTCTTCACATGGCTCCTGACTCATTTCATACAGTAAGTTCAAGACCACAGCAAAGGCAAACATTGTCACTCTATCTTGACAGAAACATTAATCCATTTACTTGGAAGTCTATGATAAAAATTTTAAGCCATTTTAAAAATATACAACTATGTTTGTTCCTGGAATGCAATCTAGAATACTGTACTTGACAAAAATCTCTTAATCTGAAAGATGTATCAACAGTGATTTATGTATAAAAGAACTTGTAATAACTATTTTACACATGTAGTATAAACAATTTATTTGAAGATCGAATATGTCATTAATAATAAAAAATAAAACCAAAACCAATGAATAGGAATAGGAAAGACTAGAATAGGAAAGATGGACAGTGTCTTGTAAAAAGTTATTTGATCACAGATAGCTCCACGTTCCTAGGTAGTTTTAATAAATTGGTAAGGATATGAACATATAGCGTACTTGATCTCTTAGAGACAAAAATATAATAGGGAGACGGGAGTAGGTATCAACAGATTCAACATTTGAATCAAAATCAAACAATCTGAACATCATTCCCTCTACTGTAACACTATGTGGCATAATGATGTTCAGATTTAGTAGCTTTAAATCCTCTTTTGAAGACGATGTATTTCCTTTTTTGCCACCTTGACCTCACTGGGTTACTGGTAAGGTCACTGGCACCTGATTAGATTGAGATGCTGGAGACCCACTGTTAATGGCTTGTGGAGGTACCGCGGCTGGTTCCATCTTGCTTATGTGTGTGATGAATCGAAGACGAAGCTTTAAAGCTGGTTTTAAATTACAGATAATCTTCTCTACCTAAGTAAAACATTGAAAACATTTTAATCAATTTTTTATCTTTAAAGAACTGATTGAAATATATCTTGAGACAATAAGCTATGGGATGGAGCAGAGTAGATGACAAGTTTCTCTGCATGTTTTGTGTTTTAACAGAAGCACGTAAATTTTTTTCTTTCTTACATGAGAAAAAAGCAGTGTACACCCCCCCACACACACACATACATTATAGTTACATGTGTGCATCTGTGCACATTTTTAAATGGTATACACTTATAAAAACATATCAATTTACCTTGCTAGGTAGTCATCCCGCTGCCAAAAGCTAGTATATTTTACACTAGAAATTCTATACATCCAATAAGTTAAAATACCATCTTCACAGAAGCATGATTATACATTTTGAAGTTCTTTGAATAATTTATGTCTGTAACATTAATCTACAAAGCTATTTTTTTTTTTTGCTTAAATTTATATTTGCAATTAAGAATACTATTAGGTATATTCTTTCTTAAACTAAAGATGTAAATACATTATGCATTTTCACAGCTTTCTTACCTTTAGTCAAATGCTCTTTGCCTAGCAGTAAACATCAGCTCACTGACAATTTTCCTTTCTGTATTCCCTTGTGTCAGTTTCTTATGCCCATTATAAAGGACACGCTAAATAAACATCGCTGTATTGGTCTCCACTCAACTCTCCTTGCCAATACTGCTGAGGCATAAAGGAGTCAACATTCTTCTCCCACCTCATGTCCTCTGCTCCAAGCAAGGCATCCACTAGACCAGGATTCATATGCCTATATTTCAAATTACCTTCCTTTTCCATTATAGAAAGGATAAAATTCAAGTATGGAGGAGAGGTGACTTAACTTTACCTATCTGTTCTACCTCCATCCTTCTAAAACAACTGAGATTTTGTTTCCAACAAATAGCAAACTTGGTTATGACTCAAGGAGGTCTTTCCTACTTTAAGACAACTCTACTAGGGAGTGGTTCTTGATATGTTAAGTAGTCAGAACATACCTCCCTTTAACTGCACCAGAGTTTATATGCACTTTGAAATGACGTAGAACAAAGGTAATATCTATGCCAGTTGGCAACTCTCCAAACAATGAGTACATGAATAATTTCCCAGAACTTAAAAAGTAAAGCATTTGAATTTCTTTAAATATCCTTCATATGCTCTTGAGTTTCTGTCTTTAGTCTTCTAGTCAAGATGCACTTTATTCAAAGTCTTTGTGTTGTACCCTACTTGTTGTGAGGAAAAGTAGGACCTCCTTCATTCATACTACATCACCACCTTCTCTGGTCTATTCAGTGGCCATACCACAATTTTCTTCCTAATGAAATTACTATTAACACACATGTCTTCTTCTGATGCCCTATTGCAAATATACAGAGGAAAAAGCATGAGAAATTATAACATGTTTACTTTAATACTATGTCCAGAATATATTCAGGTAGCTTGAAAGGATCTGATAACATCAACAATTTCCCTTAAAAGAAAAAAAATAACAATACCAAAACACTCCAGCAAAAAAGTATCACCATATATTTGTTTTCTAAACTAAACATCATTAAAAAATAATTAAAGTTAACATACTTGCTCTTTTACGCTGTCTCCAGTAAACATATACTTCATATGATACAGGAAGTCACAAATGGGATCCATGTAATTTAAATGGGTGCTACACTGGTCCACATTGAGCAGCATGTCGTAAAATGCCACACCAATCTATTTAACAAATAATGTAAAATTATTTAAATGGTTAAATGATTTAGCACAACGCAGCAGAACTGTTACAAGACTAGTACAGACAAGTAACATGTTTGTCAAATGAATTTTCACTAATCATACAAACCTCTATGTACACAGGAGATAAAGCCTGCATTTATAATAAACTCCATAGTATTACAAAGTGCCTCCTAATAGGGCTTACATGAAATTTCTCTCTTCATAATTTTATAATTTCTCTTAACATCAAAGTTGACAATCTCCTTTCTAGAAACCATCTCTCAGTTTCTGGGATAACTACAGTCTCAGGGATTCTTTGGGTATACCTCCTTAATTTCATTTTATGGTTCAGACCTAAGATACTTTTCTTGGCTCATTTTCTTTTCTCTACACTCTTGTTATAAGTGATTGACTTCATCCAGGCCCATGATTTTTGCTAATTTTTCTCTGTTATAGTGCATGTTCTCAAATGTACATAACCATCTTTAATTTTCTTCTCAAGCTTGAGGATTACTTTGCCCTGCCTCTCTAATTCAACACAGTCCACACCAACCTCATAGGGCACACTTATCTATGGGCTCGCGAAGTCCTCTGATGAGCCTCTTAGATCCTACTAAGCTGATTTCACCACTAATGGTTATAACAGTTTGAAAAATACCGGGAAAGAAACCTAAACAAATCTTTTAGAAGTTAATCTTATCTCAAAAAACCCAGACTATATTTTACCTCTATCATGCATCGAGTTCTCTCTTGTTGAAATCTTTGTAAAAATGGTCCCACAAGATGGTACACATAAAGCAACTGAAATTCAGTCTTTACTATAGGGAGAAGTACTTCAGTGAGAAACCTATAATTTCAAAATAAAAATAAAAATCTCTTGTGACTTGAAATCAGTTGACCTATTTGAAATTTTTTAATACAGCTTGCCCAAACATTTGCAAAACTTGCAATAACTTTTTAAAAGTTTTTCTAAGTTTTGGTGACATTTCTAGAAATCCTTGTATCTCTCAGTCTTGTTTTCATTTGGTTATTAAATTACTTCAGATTTAGAAGTATTCTTAAGAGTAAAACTATTGAATGACATAAAGTGAATTAACTGAAACAGAGTAACCAATCTAATATAAATGCCTATAAAGAAATCTGAATCCAATTAAAAACAATTTTATAGTCATAGAAAATAGGCTAATATCAGTTGTCTAGTTCAAAAGGCAACTTTTGCAATATATTCTGGAAAAAGCAAACATTTGAATAAGCTTTTGGAAACTGTAATGGAAAACTAAATTAACTTGCATATACAAATTAATTTTTTAAAAACAATTCTGGAATGAAAGAGGCTTTCTGATTACCTAGAAACTCTACTTAATTAAAACTCTGCAAGTTGTCTGCTGAATGAGATAAATCCCCATGTGTAAATGAGCCTTAAAAATGAAAAAAGTCTGATTTTTTAAAGAAACTACAATACTTACTTGGGAATGAGGGAAAGCTGCCCAATGCTAGAATGGTGCCACACAGCATGTGCTAGCGCTAAGGTGTAGCTACAGCTCATTTCGGAGTAGGACTGATGACAAGCGGTGAAATCAAACAGGCGGAACGGATAGCCAACCCACTCTGTCTCAGATGTCAAGCTAGGACTGCTGATAACACTCACAATTCGATCGTGAAGGACAATCCAATATGGCTCCTTTAAAAGCAGAGGAAAGCCTGATGAAAAAGACCACTAGCCTATATTCCATTTCATACACACTATTCCACATAAAGCCTACAATCATTTTTTTTTTTTTAATCCTTTAAACTTTCCTACTTAGCCAGCTTATGTCTTTGTGTAGTGGGAGATTTTAAAACCCATTTGGGTGGCTTCATAATGAGTCAAATTAAGTGACTAACAACCTGAGGAGATGTGTCTGTGAGTTAGAGGGTGCTATGTATTCATCTGTCCAGCTATTTGGTACCTGAATTTACTACACAGCAATCTGACTTGACTAATATTTACCAAACAGATGACACTGGAAGACATATATTTCATAAATAAACATATGTTTGGAAGTGTGTAAGGAAAAAAATGACTCAGCAGTGCATAATGAAACAAGTTTGGAGAGCACAGGATAAGACAGTGTCACTGATATTCAAAGATACAGCTAAGGATACCTCTGTGGTGCTGACTGGACACATATGAGAGACTCCACATAAGTGGAGAAATCAGGAACGCCCCACTGAGGAAATAGGCCCTCAGCTGTCAAAGAATGAGAAGACTTTAGAAAAACTGATAGAAGGAAGATGGGTTTTGGCATATGTCTTATTTCACTAACTTATCAAAAGTACCTGAAACATCTTGCAATAAGCATTATTTGCAAGAACAAAGGCTCTAAATATGTAACATGTTAAACAGTTAAAAGTAGAGAAGATTTTGATATAAAAACTGAGGGTGGATAGGTAATGTGGGATCAATGGATGCAGGAATGTATGTCAGGTAAATTTGTTTAGATGTGATGCACAAAGCAAAGGAACCCGTCACTGTAGATTTTTAAAGGAATAATAATATAAAAGAGCTGGGAAATATAAACTACTTCACTAATTGCACTATGTGCTTGTGTAAGGGTCTATGTGCACCTTTTCCATATAGCTAACAAGGAACTGCTACATTCCATGACTAACATAAATAACAGTAATCAACTCACTGGTAGGGCAGTGATGATTAGTCCAATTGCATTCATCCATGCTGTGATGTTCTCTCTTGGAACTAAAGGCTGACTGCAAATAGGGGAGAAAAAGAATAAAAGTGTTAAATTATAAAAACATTTATATGGTTGACAATGGATTTTATTTTGTGAACATATACAACTTTGGGGATAAATGATCCAATCCAATAACCTATAATGGAATTTTATTGAGTGAAAATTAAAATTTAATCTACACAAAAGGCTTTTTTATTGGTTTTATTGGCTTTTTTAAAATTGGGTTTCCTTTAACGATAGCTGCTGGGTTGAAAGACCATTTCCATTTATTTAGACTTCTCTAATCTGTCCCCTACTTCATGCTGATTTTTAAGAAAGGAATCTCAACAGATTGTCTTTGGTAAGAAGTTAACATTATTCCTAAATTAAATGTCAAACAACTAATAAGGAGAACAAGGGGAACAAACCCAGGTCTCCTGACCCTGTTCAGGGCTCATTCTATTATACCTGTATCACAAAGACAAGATCTGGAACCAAAAGACAGTTACTAACCAGTGTGCACTGGTCTGGAAGTAACAGGTTTTTCTAAGAGCTACAAATAAAATATTCTTACAAATAAAAAGTGAATCTTCTTGGCCTCCCCTGGTGGCACAGGTGGTTGAGTGCTGTGCTGTGAAGCTGTCTGAAGCCTCTGCAGCGCCGGTTCGATCCTGGCCGGCCGGCAAGGGTCCCATATGGCGCGACAGACCTCTCCTGTCTCGCCTGCTGCTCCCCTTAGCAGTGTATTTTGTCAGTCTGCCTGTTCTGTTCCCCGCTCTGTCTCTGGTGAATCCTGTCACCCTCCCGCACATCTGGCCTGTACCCCGGTTCTTGTGTAAAATAAATATATCTTTTAAAAAAAAAGTGAATCTTCTTGCATGAAACAGTATACACACCTTTTAAGAACAACATTTAGAAGAGCATTTCCAACATCTTCACCTGAAACAGCCAAGGCCATGAGCTCCACACACGTCACATGCAGTGCATGCGCTGCTGGGTTGGGAAACTCATTGAATCTCCAGTCACAATTTGGGAATGGACCAGGAGATTTGCCAGCCATCGGTGCAAATGATTAAAGCAATAACTATCTGATCATTTTGAGATCAATGACTCACATCTGTATAGTGCTTTATAGCTGTCAAGATATTTTCCATGTAAACATCTCATTTTATTATCAATTTAATTCCCTAGAAGTGACTTATTAGAGAGATCAAGAATCAAATACTACAAACCAAATACAAATAAGTGGGCTGAAATGTACTGATAGCAATCATGTGATCAATCACAAGGTACAAATGGTTGTTCTTTTAGGTGGGGTCTTATAACAATGACATGGTAGCTACAGATGCCCAAATATACCAAGGCATCCCTAGGTTTCATTAATCTTTTTTTTTTTTAATTGTTATAGGACAACTAATAAAAAAAAATCTTTATAATGAGAAATTATTTCACTTCAGGAAATAAAATCTTGTGTAGGAAAATCAATTATTTTCATTTAGGCAATGGTCTATCTAGCAAATAGTGGCATGATATATACATATAAGCACAGTATACTCATAATTTTAAAAAGTATTCAAGGATTTAGAGCAACAGGATTCTATGTTCGCCAGTAGCAAACACATGCACATACTACAATATTAGGACAGTTACTTAGGAATAGAAATTTTTCTTTAAAACAAATCTCCACAAAGTCTGTTTTTAAATAAATTTTAATGGGGTGAATTTCAGACTATCTATTATGATGCTGCTAATTTAAGAATTAAAAATCTTGGCAAAAATAAAAATGATTTTAATAAAATGAAGTCTTAGAATACATAAAAATACTACCTTGGGGAAAAAAACATGTTCTCACATATAAAGAGTTATTTCTGAAAAGTCTGGATTTCGAAATAAAAAGGATATTATCTACCAGTCTGCCAATCAATTTGCAATAGTAGGTGTCATCTGGAATCCAAGGATTGTCTTCTCGTGCATTCATAGCGTTCTTTAGGTAAGTGTCACTCAGACACCAGCCCTGAGGTCGATTATCCTTGAGTGAGCCAATGATTGCGTGGACAAGTTTGCGTTTGAGACCTGCACGGTCTCTCAGGTGCATTTCATAATAGTGCAGCGTATTATACAAATAAGTCACCGGACGATCTGACAAGAAGAAATAAGATTACTCAATGCTTATCTGCTTACTGTTATCTGCAAAAAACTAATCCTCTGGTTTCAAGATAACCAAAAAACAGTTCAGAGGATCATGAAACTATTTTATATGCTGAGCAACTGCATACAATGACTTTTTATTTTAGAACAAGGCAGAGACTTTTTATACTCAGCATGGATTTAAAAGTATCCATCATGCTGAGCTAACAATTCCACTCCTGGGAATTTATCTTACAAAAATGATATATGTACAGGAATGTTACTATGGCCCTGTTCATACTAGTAAAAGATTAAAAATAAGCTAAATGGTCAAAAAGAGGAGACTAGTTAAATAAATTATTGCATTTATGAGGTAGCTGTTTATGTAGTGATACAAAGCAATCAAGCAATACATTACACAGTAGAAAAATGAATGCGTGGAACAATGTGTATATTTTATTTGTGACAACAACTCCAGAATATCTAAAGAAGGACACACAAGACACTGTTAACTGTGGTTGGTTATCGAGAAAGAAACTAGCTAGCTGAAGAACAGGAATGGGGACTTATTTTTACTTCATACCCTTCTCTGCACCTAATGCAAAAGAAAAATGTTATTAAAGGTATGTTCAACTGATTTTGATGTCTATTCAACATCGCTGAAACACAATTCAGACTTCTGCTTTGGAGGAAGACATCTTAGATCAAGGACTAAGAAATGCCCAGATAAATACTCTGTCCCCAAGTGGCTCCTCCAGGACTTTCATACTTCCGTCACTGACTTGTCACTTGCCAGCTACTATGCTTATGACTTTAGGATTATCTTTGATTTTTTTCTCTTTCAATATTCTCCCTACAACCAGTTAATCAAGTCCTCTTGCTTCTTTCTTGACTACCTATCCTTTCTTTTTCATTTCCAATATTACATACTTGTTTAATGTCAATCATAAACCTCAATTTTTGTTATATGTATTTGAAATGACTTCCTCCTTGCCAACTACAATGGGATTGATATTTCCAAAATAATGCCTTCCATGTCATGACCAGTCTCAAAAGCTTCTAGCTGACTCAATTGTCTGCAGGTGATAAACCCAAAACTTCTCAGTCTGACATTTTAAGGTGACTTATCATTAGGTATTCAACTTAGGCTGAATGAGGAAAATGTTTTCAAAATGCCTTATTTTTTCAATACCCTCATAGTTTCCCCATGAAGGCATTACGTTTTAATAACTTAAGGTATTATGGGAATATGGTACGTTCCCATGAAGGTAAATATTTCCCAGAAACATCTTTCTGGTTATATGAATCTCATGCTTCACAGTTCAAATCCTACACATCCAAGAAGCCCACCAACATTCATTTAGTTCACAGAACATCATTCTGTTCTGAACTAATATTTTTCTCCTTCTATACTCACTGGGCAACTAATCATATACTGTAAAACATAACTCTCTTGCATATAATTTTCTTTTTACTATTTAATATGTTATGATCTACCAACTCCTAAGTTTTTGTGTTGTCTATTTTTCACTTTAGACATCACTCTATAATATTTACCCTTAGGACACTTTTATTAAAAAAAAAAAAAAAACACAAAATAAAACCAACATGGTAACATCCAGAGGATTTCTGTTTATAGAGCTAGCAGATGGAGTAAAAATTTGAAAAAGCTCACCATGAAATTTGTATAAGCCTCCTAGGTGATCCAGTAGAGTTTCCAGTGACTTGGATACTGGAAGCAACTCTAAAAATCTGTGGATTACTATATCAAATACTGGAAGGAATCGGAGACAAACATTTCCGAAATAGATAGGCAGATAGGGGGACTGGATCTGCACAGGAGGGTCGACCTGTTCCGCCAGGCCCTCAAAATAGAGCTTCTCTGGATATTTCTGTGGAAATGAAGACATGGGAAATGTTTAGGGTCTCTTCTATTAATTAAAAAAAAAAAAAAGAACTAAGTAAACTTGCCAGTTTTAAACAAAGAAACTCTGTTTGCTCCAACAATGCAATCTAGAGTCCTTTACTTGATAAAAATATGTTATGATAAAGATACACCAAGAGATTTATATATTAAAAACCAGATTTATAACAACTTTCATTCTGTATTATAAGTACCCATATCTACTAAATCTACAGTTTCAATTTATTCTTAACATCAGAGATACCCTAGAACCTTAAGAAACTTTAGAAAGCTAATTCACTTGTATACAAAATAGAACCATAGAGAAAACAGTTAAATCAATTAGCTAAATACCTAAGTATGGCTTAAAAAGAATGAACTGAAGCTCTAATTGGAAGGAGTACCTTGTGATAATTCATGTGCTTGGTGTGCCAGTCATTCTGTAGCCAGTGCTCTGGGGAATTTTCCTTCACAAAGTCACTTACTCGATTTCTAAAATCATTTGGTTTGAGTAACAGCAACTGAATTATGAAGTAACAAACCTGGGCTTCATTTCCTTCATGACTACGCATGGCCTTTGGGAAACAAAAGAAGAATCATATGAAAATGCCTGTCTTATGCAAAAGCCCGGGCTTCTACTTGGTAGTCTAAATCATAATATGGTAAAATCTCACTATTAGAATTTCCTTATACATCTAGTCGACCCCAAATCAACTGTCCAGACTTTCACAGGTGTGTCTGACTCGTTCTTGCTTATTTTTAGTTCTCACCATTCCTTCTGCCTGGAATATCCATCTTTATTTTCTAAAATGTTATCTACCCTTCAAGATCCATCACCAAGGCCGAAGTGATAGTTCATTGTGGCAGTATTTTCCTACTACATCTCCATTATATCCTTTTATTTTATGATTTAGACTTATTTCCTCTACACGATTATAACATCTTTATATCTATGCTCTAGATCTAAGAGGTTAATGTTAACCCAGTAAACAACCCCAAAGTCATCCCATTGTACTTTTTAAGATACAGCATTTTCTTGTCTGGCTCAGTTTCTGCACCTAAGATTTTGCCTGAAACAAACATCAAAGTCAGGAAAAAACCACTTGGGGAATACTGGGCAGCTTTGAGAAACATTCAGTAGGCTATAAAGTGTATGAAATGGTTTTATTAGCATTCTGCAATGCAGTGATTTTTTACTACTTCCTACCTCCGGCAAGAACCTCTGAGAATCACTGTTTATAATTTTAGACATCACAAGGCCAGAAACATGTCTGTCTTATTTACTTCTATATTGCCTATACATGGAATATTATAGGTAGTCAATACATATGTATTGAATGAGTAGTAATGTGGGAAATCTCCAGTTCCTAAGGGAAGTGATAGCAATGCTTGATTATAGTGCAAATTCATTAAATTCTTAGAAGCAGTAGAGTAGATAAGAACAAAGATTCATTAGCCATTAACTTGATCCAAAAGAGAATGAGACAACATTGAAACTTATTCTTAAGTATTCTTACCAGGCAGAGAATTAACCTGTCCAATGTAACGATGTTATACTTCCATACCATGTCATTAAGAATTTCAATGCATTTGTTGAGCTGCTGACCCCCAGCTGATGTAGAGAACTCATATACCAGGAAATCAGCAAATGTTCTCACATGGGCTACTAAGGCCCTGGCTCCAATTCTCTCCAATACTCTGGAAAGCAAAGAGTAAAAAAATGAATTCTATTGCTGCATGTACATAAAGGTTTCCCAAATGGAATAAAAATCTAGATTTTGACTAACCTATACCCAATCTGATTAATATGATCTGTTTCCAAGAGCATTTTCCAAAGAAGACAAAGGAAGAGAGGAGGAGAGCTTTGCATAGAAAAGTGGGTAATGATGTCATTTTCATTGCTCATTGACTTCCACTTCCTATATTCCTCCTCCACATTTTTTTTCAGATTAAAACGACTTTCCTGAGGTACATTATTTTGTTTGAAGAATGCCTAAAATGAAGATCAGAAGTTAATTTCAATGGTTGTAATAGAAAGAACACTGACCAGTTCTAGACTTGACTCTGACACTAAGAAACTGGAGGTGATCTCAAGCAACTCAGATCAATCAAGTAATCAACAAAGTTCTGTATTTGGAAAATACTAGGTAATCTCTAAGATTCCTTTCCGAGATGGAAATTTTAGGCAACCCTGAATTCATAGTTCTTGCAATTTTCTATTGATACTTCAGCTCATGCTTAAAAAAAAAATTAAAAAAAAAAACCCAGAAATGTATATATGCTTTAAATATTTTAGTATCTCTATGAGTAAGATCCATCACACTAATCCAATGTCTTTAGAAAGCAATCCCAGACCAGCAGCATCAACACTACCTGGGATCTGAAGGAAATGCAAATTCTCAGGCCCTAACACAGCCTAAAATCAGATGTTATTCTCTGCAGCTGTAACTTAACAAGCCTTTCAGGTGATTCTGATAAGTTTGAGAACTACTGGTCTAACCCTATAAGAGCCATTGAAAATAAAATGTTCAGTATACCTAAATTTTTCTCTGAAAATTAGAAGACAGATGAGGTTTTTTTTCTCCCTATTATAAAAGTCAAGTTTATAGTTGTTCTCTGTTAGTATAAAAAATACTCAGTTATATGGCGTATATGCATATTCTGAGATACTTCAATAAATTATTTTTCTCCCACTTTCAGTTCTGAGACTTAATTCTAAGAAGATTCTAAAACTATTACCTATTAAGATGAAACCATAATAATTAAATAATTAGAAACATATCCAACACTAGGATAAGGACAAAAAACAAGGAGTTTTGGTAATAGCAAAAATTATTCCAAAAAAACAAACAACAGCTCATTTTCTTCAGTTTACACCAAAACTAGCTCTCTAGAGTAAACTGTAAAGGCGCAGAAGGACTCCATGTGTATATAATTCAAGGCCAGATTACCTGTAGTGGGCCTGGAAAACAACTAAGGGTGTGAGAAGCCCAATTATGAGGCGTAAAACTCATGATGGTCTGAAGTATGTCTTTACACCAAGTTCCCTGAATTGAATCAGAGCCTGTAAAAAAATCTAAACATAAACAAAAAGATGTAATATAAATCATATCCACAATTAACAAATGATATCATAGAGAAAGTCACAAACAATTATGTATACCAAGAGAATTTCACTATAGCGCATTCCCTGCTTAACAACTGACAGATTATGATCTAAATTTTCTTAGTTTATGAATTCGTTGAATTGTCACATTAGTAAATAAGGACAAGTGGTGAAAAGAGAGAAATTATCTGGAATGTATATTTTAGCAGAACATCAACGATACAACAGGACACCGGCACACCCGGACTGTTGATTTAATCCACTCTGACAATGAGTTACTAGGACCTTATTGAGGTGGGGGATACATTTAAAAAGCAGGTGTCTTTTCCAGTTACTGAAAGTTATAGACTACCAGTGTAATGCTAAATCAAAGAGGCTTATTTATGTAAAATAAAATTATTTATTCAAATGTATTTGAGATTGCTAAATTTTAACTATTTCTTTAAAACAGTTGTTTTCAGTGTCCGCTCTTAAGACTCTGGTTTTCTGATATACTTTTTAAAGGATCTGATGAAGTCAAAGCGATTAAAATAGAAATACTAAGATATCATTGGCTTTCTTCCTGTGTGCACTGATGGTATGATGGCAATGGTGGCTAATACTGCTGGTCCTCAGAATATATGGAAAAGTGGCACCAAATCATGCTAACAGCCACTGGAAGCTTCACCACCACGACTCAGTGGGGGGAGAAAGTACCATTTTCACATGACATGTGTCAAGATTTACAAGATCTACATAACTCAGCAAACCACCAATCTATAAGGTTATAAAATATACCTGGATAAAAAAATTCACTAAAAATAGACTTATGGATTATAACGCAACAACAGAGTGCAAGAAGTTCGCTGATAGGACTCAACTAACTTAAAAAACTATCATTTCTCCAGTTTGGGTATGACATCAGATAATATTTACAAATAGCTGAAAAGTTATTAAAATATTTATTCTTCTCTTTTCCAATCTCTAACTGTGTGAGGCCATATTTTCTGCACATAGCTTAATTTACTTATATCAACTAAAATAACAGTGCAACAGATTAAATGCAGAAGCAAAAATGAGAATTAGCAACTTCCCTTTACATCAGATATTAAAGAGGGAGGTAAAAATGCACAACAATGGCACCTCTCCACTAAAGGTTTACTTTGGAAAATATAAGGTTTATTTTTCATAAAAAAGTAGGTTATTTATGTTAACATGCAATAGGTTTATTGTTGTTACTTTTAAATAAGTCAAATAAATATTTTAAAATCTCAACACTTAATAAATATTGATAGTTATAACCCATGTAAACACAAAAATCTGTGGGATTTCAGTTATTTTTTAAGAGTGTACCTTTAAGACCAAAAGATTCAAGAGCCACTATTTAAAATTATGTAATATGGCTGAAAACTGAAGCTCAGCCTAGTTAAAATGAGTACACAGAACATGATGAAAGCCTGACACGATGAGGGCCTCCTTGGTGGCACAAGGGGTTAAGTCTCAGCACTATGAAGCTATTCACAGCCACTGCAGCACAAGTTCAATCCCCGGCCAGGGAACTACCCACATGGCACAGCAAACAAGTGAAAAATATCTTTTCAGTATGCTATCCACTTAATAATTAGTAGGAACACAGTACATTTTAATTCATTTGTTTTGTCGATGGTGGTCACACACTCACCGTACCTGTTACATGAGTTGCTCTAGCTAAGGTCAATATCAAGGCTCGGTTCAGTTCTTCTGATTCTGCAGACAGCACGGTTTTGGGATCACTAAGGAAGCGTGTAAACTGTGGCTGTACCTCTGAGCTACCTAATGCTGTTATAAGCCTCAGTGCAGTGCTTTCAACACTGAATGGTGGGAGAACAAAGAGAAACTTGAAAAAGGTAAGCTGCAAATAAAATTTTAGAATTACAGAGTTAAATCTAATTCTATATTAATTATAATGAAAAAATGGGCAAACTAGAAATTTCTTTTCTTTGATTAAAGCAATTCTCTTGAATGAATGAGCTTTATTTAATTTGTTTTAAAAATTGGATATGACAAGTTTCATAGTGAAAACCATCTGAGTTTTACACATTTGAAAAAGATAACTGGAAGTCAGAAGGTCTAAAAAATTTCATCTGGATATATGGCATTTCAAAAATTACATTTTTCTATCCAAAATATATTTTCACTTAGAGCAATATCAATACATGATACTTAAAATCATAATCTGAAGCATATTTAAATCTAGCATTCAGAGGTCTAAGTTGAATGTAGTGTCAACAACCTTGAAATTACTTATTCTTAGTTCAAAGATCACAAGACAAGGATTCAAATATCTTAATCAGTTTCTATTTGAAAAAAATGAATCTACAGAGTCTTCTATACTAGAAATAAAATACCCAGAAGCAGAGGCGTTTTACTGCACATGAATAAAAAAATTATAAGGTAAAAGATAAAGATCCCCATCTTCAACAAAATTTCTAATTTTTTTTTTAATTTTATTTTTATATTCCCCATACAATTGCAACCCCCTTATTTTGACCCCAATCCCTCCTTTCCCCGTCCCTCCACCCCATAAAATTTCTAATAAATCTTAAGGAAAAACAGTCTCCAGTGAACTCACCAGAGGTGGAGTTGGTTCTGGTTGGTTTGTGCAACAGCAGCCAAAGTATGAAGATGACTCAGGAGCTGAACTCTGTAATGAGGCTGTATGTGGTGCATCCGGTAGCTGAACATCTCAAGAAGTGTGTGTAAGATCCCCCATGCATGAGACTTGAAAACAGTTGGTAAAAGCTGACCTGGAAAAACAAGACAATCAAAGGAACCAATTATAAAAAGCTATGATGAATAGTTAAAGAAAAAGTCACACTGAGTAAAATCTATGTGAAGGTTTGCTCATGAATATACATGCACATACAGAGGTATACATATTAGATAAGGTTTCCACTCTTTCTTGTTAATTTCTACTTTAATAAAATAAAATGCTGCAAATAAAATTTCAGAATTACAGAGTTAAATCTAATTCTAGATTAATTGTAATGAAAAAATAGGCAAACTAGAAATGTCTTTGATTAAAAAAATTCTCTTGAACAAATGAGCTTTATTTGTTTTAAAAATTGGAGGCACCATCCCCAGTGACGCAGTGGTTGAGTGCTGGGTTGCGAAGCTGCCTGCAGCCTCTCCAGCGCAGGTTCGATCCCCAGCTGCCTGATGAGGGTCCCACATGGCACGCAGACCTCTCCTGCCACCCGCTGCTCCGCTCAGCAGTATATTTTGTCAGTCTGCCTGCTCTGCTCTCCGCTTTGGCTCTGGTGAATTCTCTCATCCTCCCACGTTTCTGACTGTACCCAGTGCTTGTATGTATGTATGTATGTATAAATAAATCTTAAATAAATAAATAAAAATTGGATGCACCAAATTTTATAGTGAAAAGTATGTAAGTGAAAAATACAATGAGACAATAAATTAAAAAAATTACCCTAACCTTTTTCACTCATCTTTTATTTTTATAAAGCTAATGTTTCCAGCCTTTTGAAGCATGACACTCACTTCTTAATACATAGATCACATCACATCTGTTCTTAACCCTAATTCCCCCCAAGAAAGTTTTATTCAACTCTCAATTATCTGAGAGGAAGAGTAAATATGGTTAAAATTAAAATTATATTACATTGGTAAAAAGTCACATGAAACCAGAAAAAGAGACAGCAAATGAAAGATAATGGGACCACGGATTCTTCCTGAGGACAATGACCAGGTCCACCCTGCTCACTGCATGTTAAATCCCCTTCCCAAACCCGTTTCTTACCACTTAATACAACTCATTCTTCTGATACTAACACTTCCTATCTCTCTTTTTTTTTTGCTGGATTTTTCTCTGAGATTTATCATCTGACAGCACATTTCACTAATGTTTTAAACACTAGAAAGTCCTGTCTTACTGATAAATCCTTTGATGCCCAAAGATTCTATTTCCATATAGACCAACAAACGGCTGTAAGTTTCCACTAGGGCTGGAGCCAAGGCCACACTGGACTTCGCATGAGCAAGTTTTATTACTCTGGTTGCAATGCTGTGAATAAGGCTGAGGAAAACAAAGAAAGACATTGTATTTATGACATAAATACAGAGGTTACTCCAATTATAGGTAATTTGGTATAAATTTGAACTTAAATATATGAAATGAATCAGCTCCATTTAATCGATTAAGTTGTCAGGACTTGGCAGTGACACACTATACAACCTGAGACTAATGGGCCTCCTGACCTGCATCAGGATCCCTCTGCTCAAAGAAAACCCATTCCAGAAATTAAATAACTTTTGTCATAGACTACTTAATAAATCACTGCTAAGACCCAACGGTTAGATTATAACAGGGCTTTCCTCAAATTTGTCATCACACAGGTAAAGCACACAGATATATAATTCTACCACAATGTTAACCATTTGGAAAAAAGCATGGCTTTTCTAGAACTGATGTCCTATCTTGAGGCCCACCGATGCATTCTTTTTGGCCTATAGCATTGGAGAGCATGTACTTAAGGTTGATAGACTAGAAAAATATCTGAATATCTGCCTCTTCTTAGAATATTTTAGAAGATGTAGTTACACAAGTCTATACTCTTACATCAATGAAATTAGCTAAAGTGGGAGGCCTCAAGCCTCTCTAAACACACGTCTGTACGTTTCACTCAGCACCCGACATCATTCATTTACCTTATCAGACCCACTCCTGGGGGCACTTAAAATTCTGAAATGACACCCAACAGTGTCTTTCAGAAATCATAAAGACACTTCTAAAAGCACTGTTATGTGTAATCAATATAGTAAAGGAATTAAAAGTTTCATATTCCTGGACGCAGCAATTCTACCTTTAGCAAATTATTTAATGTAAATATAATATGGATAGGTACAAAAACAGACATCAACTTAAGAGTTTTCATAGCCACCTTTAAAATACTAAGACATTTCAAACAACTTTAATGTCCAACAATGTGGAACTGGTTAAATAATCATATGTAGCCATGCAAAGAAACTTCCTTGTAGCAACTAAAAAAATTATTATTTTTTTCAAACAGTGGTTATAAAACAGTGTGGCAGTGAGTCATTTCATAAGGGAAAAAAAGCCCATAAATTCATAATCAGAGAAAAATGGCTTAATAAACACAAAAAGATTTTTCCAATGCTTATTTCTCCTGGAGGGACTATGGCAATTATTTTCCTCTGGTTTACTTGCATATTTGAGAATTTCTATGCAAGCAGTATTTATTTCTGCAGCAAAATAAACTTACTTAAATTTTTTTCAATGCACCTGACTACAAAACACAATCATGAAATAAAATTTGTGTTATAATGGTATCAATTTCCTGACATGGGACCAAATAAAAAAAAAAAAATTACCTCATTTTGGCATGAACTGTCAGTGAATCCAGAAGGTTCATTGGTAAGGGAGAAATAGATCCTGAAGCATTACAGCTTGTTCCAGGGAGAGGTATCCTCATAATTCCGTTTCCATAAATAGTTTCTACCAGAGCACCCATGGGTAATGTGAAACATTCTGAATTTGTAGAGTATGCATTACACAGGAGGGCTATCTTATAGTCATTCATCTGCAAACTTTTATTTCTCAGACTCTGCTGTAGGAATCTAAAATTTCAAGTTCCATTAAACAGAAAAAAATGAAATAATTTCCAGAAACTCAACTTGCATTTTAAAAATGTTTAGCTTTCTGCAGCTATTTACTACCTTTACTCTATAGGTACTATAGTTTCTTCTGTTAAAAATAGCTTGAACAGCACTTCAGAAGAAACTTCAGTCACTATAAGCTAATAATTAATGGGTATTTATTAAGTATGTACTACATATACAGTGCTAAGATTCATATAATAAAGAAATAAGAAAACATAATGAACTATGTTTCTATTTGTTGTCTATCTACTTAAGCACAATAATATGACCTCATTATAGATATCACTCTGGAAAGACTGTTAAAGGAGTGTCTTATAAAATGAAACCAGAGGAAATGTGAAGTGTGCCTATTGTCTTCTATGAAAAGATCTGGCAGTCCTTTTTAGAGGTTCTTAGTGGGAAATACCACTATTCCTAACAAACTTGACTTCAGCGTAGTCCTATCTAAAAAGGGCATCTTCTTGATTCTCACATACTTTTGAAAACTAAAAACTTTATAGAGTAAAACATGTAAAAGCAAAGACTAGGACTTAAAATTAAAAATACATAATACACTTAAATATGTATAAATGTATGTAATTATATATAAATACCCGCATATATATAAACATTTATATATACACGTATATGCATATTTACATATGTATATTTTTGCATACATAAATCTCTCTACATATACACACATATCCATATATATAAAAATAAACAAGATCAGTTAATCTAGTTGTATTCTGATGCAGATATATAGTGTACTTTCCCTTGGCGTAACATATACACTAAATATTCATCTTTATCTCCAGGTGATGGGGGCAGATTTCTATACTTAACACAAATACTGAGACCAAAATTAGTCTATAATTCAGTTATTTTTTTAAAAACAAAATTAGCTGTCAGTCTACAAATAACTTACTCATGGTGAAACTTTAGGGAATGAGGTATTGGGATCTGCAGTTTGGAGTTGTCATTTTGGGCTTTCCTGTTGAGATGAATCCAAATGCAGGTCATTGCAAAGGCATGTGTTGACTGGGGTTTGTTAATATCAGGAACTGGGATACACTAAAAAAATAACAATTAACATGTTATAAGAAGATACTATATATCATCTTTATAAAAATCCTGTGTTAATTTAGCTTCAAAAGTTCTCTGACTATTCAATGACACCAATCAGAAGATCTAACAGCTACAAAATACTCTATCTATTACAGGATTGTTTATTTGCCAAGAAAAATTCACAGGTGTTTAGTTAATTTCTTCCTGCTGCCTCTGAGCATTCACATTTAATCATATAAAAATTTTTATTCTTTAAAAATTAAGCACATCATTATGAAAAGACTCACTTATACTTTCGAAGGATATATAAACATTAAGAAAAATGCAATCTAAGTGAGTACCATCAAACAAGCTGTATACTGATGGGTAAAATGACACAGATATCTGGAATTTGCTTTAAAACTGTCCAGCTTTAATAAAATGAGAAGAAAAATGAAACAAGAATACTTCTCTGTGATGGGTACAATAACAGTTTACTTTTCTACTCATCTACTTTTTGTGTGTGTTGAAAAATTTCCACAATAATTTTCTGTAAAATATAATAGCAACTATCAATATGCCATATTTACTCTAATGTCTTATAAAACTGAAGGGATATATACCCAATTGGCAAACAAAAAGATATTAACAGACACTGAAGTCATCTGGTCATTTAATGCTCTGTGTAGAGTAAAACAGCTTAAGTACTTTTAAAAATGGCAATCATATTTAGATGTAGAGAAAGTTTGTTGTACCATATGTGTAACTGCAATTTAAGATGAACTTCAGAAATAATCTAATTCAATTTCTTCATTTTACATATGAGTAAGCTAATGTCAAGAAAACTAAATTTCTATTCAATGACTATGGCTAGTCACAATATTGGGGGAAAAAATTGATGTTTCCAGTCTCTAAATCCAGTGTTTTTACAAAATCACATAAAAATCCTTAAATATAAATAAGACATGTTCAGTCATTTACATTGCTAACTATTTAGTAAAACTTACTTCTTTTTCTGGGTATAGAAGGTCAAAGAGCTTCATGACAGGGAGAAAATCAGCTAGTGCATTTTTCTGAATACTTCCAGAAATGAATTGTAGAAGAACCCACATCAGATGATCTCTGCCTTTAATCAGTCCTCGCCCAGCTAACTGTAAAAGATGTTTAAATACACATCTACACAGCCAGTTAAAGAGAGGGATGCAGCAAAGTTTAAAAAAAAAAAAAAGGGGGTGGGGTGGGATAACCTGTTCTCAGAGAGTCAGCATCTACCTCTAACATTTAATAACTCCTTACTCATTTCAAGACACATCAAGAAAAGCCTTTGAAGTCATTTTAATATTAAATATATTCCCCTGGGATTCCCTAAACAACTAAGAATAACAAAAGTTAAATATTTTAGAACATAATTAAATTAATTGTATATGCATGAGAATCAAGTTTAGCATGGATTAATTACTAAATATATCTCATTAAAACATGAGGAATATGTTAAACCATATTTTAAGTCATTTTCATACTCCCTTTATATAAAATAGTATATATCTTAGTGACCAGGCAATTTGAAGTCTTTCTAGTGAATATAATTCCTTCTAAACTTTAGGTATGAGTATTAAACCAAATGCATTAAAAACAGTTTTTTTAATCCTCAAGGACCAGTTATCATAAAACACTTTTCCTGTTTTTTTGCAGATTATAACAGAAATCAATGGTGGTGGTGGCATGGGATGAGTGGCAATTGAAAGAATTTGAACAATTTTCATGAAAAATCTTTTCTAAAATAACCCATACTATAGAGATGTTATGGAGGTATCATTTATTTTATTCCTATTCAAAGTCTAAACCCTTATTACTAAAACCAACTCTTCTCACTTGTCTGGCCTTATATTCTCTTTATTAGATTCATAGTCCTACCTTTCTGTTCACTGCCAAAGCAGAAGCCAGTGAATTATTCTAGCCTCCTATTTCTCCCTCTGTTACCTAGTGTCACCAAGTCCTATTCACCAATCCGCACACCTGGGCTCAGAAACCCTTTGTCCTGGACTAGACTTTCAGCATCTGACCAAGACCACTGCAACAGCTCCCTTTCTAGTGTCCCAGTCTCTGATTTTGCTCCTATTCATCTCCATGTCACTGTCTTCCTACATGTGGTCATTAACAGTCATTTTTTCCAACTCATGTATGATGACATCATTCTCTTCCTCATTTGCCCCCCAAAAGAAAATCTAAGCTCATTAGAATAAACATAATCACACAAAGTTCTCCATGTCTGGTCCTGGCTTCCCGCCTTTCTCATCTTGCCAATGCTTTCCCCTGTATATTTTTCTTTTCAGGTCTTGAACACTACTATCCTTTCCCAAATAATGTTCTTACCTATATTTTCCTCTTGGCAAATTTTTATTTGTCCTTTGGGTGCTAGCTTCAAAATTTCTTTGATAAACTCGTATCTGGTGTTTACAATAGGAACTGTTCCCTTTTATTAATACTACTTTAATTACAGGCATGGCATTGTTTACACTATGCCAACTATTAAATTATAACCTACTTGTTTATGCCTATAGCTTCCCACTAGTGAAGTGCTCCTTGAGGGTACTGTAGTACTTTTTCATCTCCCCTTGCACTGTGAGTATATAGAATGACACTGAATCAATTTTTTACAATGACAAGAAAATGAAAGGTTAAGAAACCGTAAAAGCACTGAACAAAACAGAAATTGCAATTCAGAACTTCTGCTACTGCAGAAATCACCAGGCAATGTCCAGACTAAGTCTAAAGCATACTAATCCACAGGTGAAATGGCCCTGCCAAAAGATCTAGTACATACCTTCTGGTGAAGAGAAAGGACCATATGTGGGAAACTTGCAAATTGGAAAAGCACAAAGAAAATGAGCTGACTCGAGAGATGCTGCCATAGGAGTTGGCTTGTTCCCCCATCGTCAAACTTCTCCTCAGTCTCGGATCTCTCCATCGCATAAACCACCAAATCCACCAACTGGTCCTCCAGCACAGGGCAGCGCTGCTTGTGCTGTAGGGTAGAGATTAAATACAGTATTCCAAAGGCCTCCCGGTTAGTATCAGCAGTTACTAGTTAATGGGCATTAATTGTAACAAGAGGCTGAGAAGCATGGAATGAAGTTGAACTTAGAAAGTTAAGGTTAGATTTAGTCTATTAAAGCTGCATCATGTTACATTTTCATAGAGGATGAGAGTCATAAAAAAATAATACTTTTAGTTCTTACATAAAACAAACTTTCCAGAAATTTGTCTTTCACAATAGATATGGTTTCAATTTGACAGAGGGTACAATACAGAAGATTTTGTGTTTATTATTTGAAAAAGATAACACATTTTAAAAGGCATATTATGAAATGAGGATAATGGTATTAATATAATCTAAATCAAAATGTGAAAATCCTGGATTTTCAGGGATCAAACATTATGATAGGAGAGCAAATAAAACAATGTGTGAGCTATTCATTGGTAATAACTATGAGCTTACATTTTACATAGAGGTATATTTAAGCTTCTAGATTACTCAGCGTCTGTTGTTCATTGATGCTGACACTGAAACGGAAACTTCCTTTACAAAAAAAACTAAATCTCAAAGTAATTCTCTGCTCTTCCCTCTTAGAAGTCAAACATAATGCAGTTTTAATTTTAAATTAGACTATTTTAAATCTAAAACAAGAAAAAGAATTGAGTTTATACACTAAAAATGAAAATGCAACTTCCCTTTCTAGAGGCAAAAAAGATTTATGCTTTTAAGAGAATTTAAAAAATATACGTTCACCAAAAGAAATATGTTAAGCCATATTTTAAGCCATTTTTATATTTCCTTTATAAAATATTATATGACTTAGTAGTCAGGCAGTTGGAAACTTTTCTAGCAAATACAATTACTAATGTAGATGCTTTCTTTCTAAACTTTAGATGTGATTATCAGATTTTGCCATGAAAAAGGGATATGATTTCTTTAAATTTAGGGGGAAAAATGCAAAATGGGGACAAATTTAGAAAAAAACAAAACAAATGAATAGCATCCCCTTTTTTTTGCATGCTCTTTGCCAGCTCCAAACTTGTAAGGCTCCGGTATAGCTGCAATTTCTTAAAGCATGCAAATAAAACAGACATCTATCCGAAACAGTAAGCATCAATGGTCGTTTCATATTTTTTCCAAGAACACAATGCCATGATCACAGTTCAACCACATTACAGGTTTACAAATAGCAATATTAACACCACCAGTTGAGACTACAGTACTTTCCCTCCAAATGTAATTATCATTATGAAGCAGAGCAAAGTGCAACAGACAACACTACAAACTATTTCTTAAATCAGCATGCAAAACTACTGTGTACAGGGCTTGAAATTCACTAGTTTTGCCAACCACCAACAACCTAAGAAATGTGTCAGACAACACAAATTTAGAGTGAGATCATTCAAAGTATATAAGAGTCAGAAAAATTTGTGAAAAGAAGTAAAGCCAGGATTTCCAGTAGGAATTTTTCACTAGTGATGGGAATTTGCTTTAGTTTGATAACTAACCAATTTGTCACCTATTCCTCCATCCACGATAGTCTTCTATTAATCTGCTTTAGGAAAAAAGAACAAACCAAATAAAATTGGTTTTTAGCACCTGAGTCACTTTGGAATTTCCCTTTTCAGTATTAGCTGTTAGTTTTAAAAAACTGTATTTTTTTAACCTACATTTTTAGGGATGTGTGATGGTCATACAGTTAATGGTTTAAAGAGGAAAGCCAAAAATATCAAGATTTTGACAAAGATTAGAAAATCTAGAGTTAAAGCTGATGATTTTTCAATATGTACTATAGGTCAAGTTTACCCCTAAATTTTCTGTTAAGAATTAAATCAATTAGAAATTTGTATAGTGTATCATGTTTGGTATCTGATGTTAGCAGAACACCTATCAGGATTAACTCTGTATTTCCCAGGAATTTTGGTTAAGGTCATTTCTCAAATCAAGTTTAGGGATGGCTTAAATATGTTGCTTTGTTTATCTGATAATTTTGATATTATCAAAAAAGAAAGAAAAGTCTGAAATAGAAAATGAACTGTGCTGCTAATAAAGTTTTGTTTTCATATCCAATTTCTAAAAGATGAGTATATTAAATTGAACTTTCTATCACAGATTTTACAGTGTTGAACAAATTATAGTTTGTAATTCAGTTTAATAATTAAGAATAAAAGCTAATTATCAACTACTAGATTAAAATAATTCTGCAAGTCAATGAGTGCTATGTATACTATAGTTATTTACAACTTGCCTTCTGAAAATTTTTACAATTTAAGACTTCAAGATATAGGCATATAGGTTGGATCTATATACACATTTAATTAAAACCTGTTCTAACAATAAGAATATCTAAATTAAATATTTTAATAATGAAATTCCTGCAAAATAGCTGAAATAGTATTGGAACCTTATTGTAAACTTTCAGCTTTGGTAAAGTGAAAGTCAGGTACAAAGCTTAATAGAAAGATTTACATTAACCAACAACATGTCCCACAATTTCAAATGGCAAATAATACCTTTATGTCTTAGTAACATGTCCTATATTATGTGGCCCCTGGCACTTTTCATGTAACACTTCTGGTACTGCTTATTTTTGTAAAAAGTTGACACTTTATACTTTCATGTGGGCTTAAGTTAACTTTTAATCACTATTTCAGTGCTAGAAATCAATTTTAAAGCAACATCTATAACATCTATTCAGGAGTTTGTGAAGAAAAATCTCTTTGTATGTCATTCATCATATTCCCTACCAATTAGAACTGGGGTCCTATGCCAGCTAATCCCACATTCAATGGTGATTTAGAAGATAAACTGAGTGATTAGTATGGTGCTTCACTGTCTCAGGAAAGCATGAGAGTTTGTACACCACTACATACAAGCTTGAGCAGTGTTACCAGTTTTATAATGCCTTTATTCAGTAGAAAGAATACAAATTTCTGTGAAAATACACAAAATAAGATTTTTTCACTTTGAACACTCCACCTTGCTGGTCACAGAACTGGGCTATTTATGACCTGAATTTGACCAATTTTATCACAAATATAGCCCAATTCCTACTGGAAAATGCAAAATGGACAGTTCTTAAAAGGTTTCAAGCTTTAAGTAAATTATTGCATTGCTAGAGAAAGGACAAGAAAGTATAGTGCAGGATATAGTTCTGTAATAAAAGATACAATAAGATACCTTGCTTATTTTCAATCATATCCTTCTTATAATGTATGTTCTCATTTTCTACTCTACTTTCCAGATGGTAAAAATAACATATCAAATCAATTCAGCATACACCTTCCATCTACAAGTCCACTCACTACAGTTTTCTACCAAAACAATTACTGATGAATTGTGGATTTTGACAATGTTACACTACAGTGGGACCAATACTAATAATGTTCTGTCAGCATTTCCATTATAAACTTTATTTTTTATGGATTTATGTCTTAGTCATAAACTTTTATTAGGTTGAAACTTGTACTTAAAAGAATCAGATTAGAAATACTTTTCTCTGATTGTTTTCTCAATTTCTAGTTTGAGAAGAGCTGCCCCCCAAATGGAAAAAACCTAGTCATAGCTAAGAATGTCTGGGGAAGGTACTCACAGCTCAAATGACCATGGGTACATCTATCCACCAAACTATAAAAAAACTGAGTCAAGTATGACTTAAAGTTCACTGCAAAAATTAGTTTTGAGACACAGCATAAAGCATTCTTTAAAAGTTAACAGAATACTTACCTCTAACACAAGTTAAAGTTGATCAGAATTAATGAGTTGGTATTTAAGATGTTAAATTGGCAGACTATGAGGTAACTGTCAGATACTGTATTGTGAAGCAGTTTCAGTTTCACATGTACAAAGGCTTGTCCAAACAAGGAAAATTGGTAAATTTTTCAGAAGAAAAAAATTAAAATAATAAAAGAGATATTGCTACTAGGGTGAGGTTTGGCATGCAAAGTTTCAACACTGAGCAAGTTTTATGGCCAAGCTATATGTCCTTAAAAATAGGGCTTTATAAATGGAAGCACTGGCACAACCTTCACTATAGTATTGCAAACAGTAACGCTATTTTATATAACCTGAACAAGAATATTTTTTTAAATAAAAAAGCTGGTCTATTTTAATATGTTGGGCTCAAAAATTTTTAACAAAAACAATTGGAACCACTATTTTTCTTAAAATCTCAAAGGTGAAAAGTCCTGGAACAGACTTGGGACTGTATAAGAGTTTGGTTGATAAAGTTTGGCCATAGTGCTTTTCTCCCGCTACAGGTGAGCTTCATCCAAGAGGAGCTCAGTCCAGGAGTAGGACACTTCTGGCAAAGACTGACAAGAAGGGTGTTTGTTAAGCAGGTGTGGGGTCACCTAAGAGTTGACATTTCTTAGTCAATCCCCATGTTTCCCCAAAAACTTCCCTAGATGGTTTACCACTCCAACTTTTAAAGAGTAGCATATCTCTATTAATGTGCCTTTTTCTCTTCTTTGTTTTATTTTAAATTTTATTTTTGTTTTAATGCAAAGCAACATAAGTTTTTTATTGATGCTGTTGTTATTTATGTTTTAACAATAGTCTGGAAAGATAAAGGCCACCACAAATCTTTCCATCTCTGAAAATTCCACCAGGCTAGCTTTAGCCCTAAAGTAGGAAAAATAGTAAAATGGAGTGGGAAGGAAAAAGACCCATCAAAAAGTGATAGAGTCTATCGTGTGCCAGGTGTTGTCTCTTTGTTTAAAAAAAAAAAAAAAAAAAAAGAATATATAAAAAAACAAACACCAAAAAAACAAAAACAATCCACCAAAAATAACTCTCATATCCCAAGAAGAAATTCATTTTAGTGGCCTTGGTCTCAGCATGGTCCTGCCAATTTCAAGCCCCGACCATACACGTATTCTCTAAATGGAAATCAGTGGCTACAAAGCGGCCAGCGTATCGTTAGTCACAATACAACAGTAAGGTTGTGAACATACCTGAGCAATGTTCAAGGTCTAGAGCATTGGAGGATGGGCAGGACAAGACAGGACAGAACAAAAATAAAGGAAGAAAAAAAGAAAAGACAAAACAGTGACTATGAGGCCAGCCTCAAGGAACCCAGAGTCAGCACAAACCCTCCCACATGTTAAACCACCAAAAGCAAACAAATACAAAAAAAAAAAAAAAAAAAAAAAAAAAATCAGCAATGAGGCCACGCTGAAGATACCATGGGTTATAAAAATAGATACCCAAACAATTAAAAAAGGCAAAAATTATGGTTAAGTCATGTGTAGGTTTCTCTGAAAAAAGGTATACTTGAAACTGGCCTTATAGAAAAAAAAGCAATGCAAAATAAACCAACTTTTAAAATATCTCCTTTTAAATTTTAACATTCTTAACGCAATATATAAATGATAGGAACAATACATTTTTTAATAAACCATATATTTAAAAAAAATCATCAAAAAGTTCTTAACTGTTTTGCTCAGTCAGCTATAGCAAAGAAAAGAGAAAAGAATAGTGCAGATTCTATGCAGAATTTACTAGGTTTCCAGCATAGTACAGTACCTGCTTATTTAAACCTAGCATATTGCAGACCATATCCCTGGAATAAGGCTGCTCCAATACATATCTCAACAAAGCAGTCTGTGGTTCAAACAGATCCTTTAAAGAAAATAAAGAAAATTATTGCTTCAAGATCAATATAAATGTTAATTCAAATAATTTGAAATTGGGATTAAAAAAATCCTCTAAAGGCACTTGTTACCTTCACACAGTAGGCAGTATCTATTGGGGAAGAAAATCATAGGATTTTAGTGCTTACAGTTAATCTGTTCCCACCCCTCATTTGTAAGTGGTATAACTAGGTGAAGGGAGTTGCCCAAGGTAATACAGAGGATAAACTCAGAAATGATTTCAGGTACCGTCCTACTCAAGTCTTACATGGAAGGAAAGAATTTTATGTTCAGAAACAAACCTAAACAAAGAAGAATGGAGGTAGTTTGCAATCCCTCTCAACACCTATAAACATAAATAGTGTTTCCAAATTTGGAGAGTACAAATGCCTTCATAGCACAGGGAGGTATAACAGAGTAGATTCTGGAACTAGATTGGCTAAGTTTGGATCCTGACTCTTTTTAAACATGGGGCCTTGATCAAGTTACTATCTCACCTGGTGCCTCAGTTTTATCATCTATATAATGGAAATAATGTGATAATTATGAATTAAGGGTTACAGCAAAGTTGTTAGAATTGTGCCTGGCACACAGGAAACATACAATAAGCATATTTATCTGTTTTCATTATTGTTGCTATTATGATGATTGTAAATTCCTTTCAGTTTACTTTCTCACATACACAAATTTTGCTGACTAGTACTCTGAATGCCCAGAATTGTCATCTTAATCTCACTATCTCATTCTCTTCATTTTTGGACAAGTTTCCTTGTCATTGTACAACATTTTGACATGAAACAGTCTAGTCACAAGAAAAATATCAGTTCTCCCCATACCCTGCTGTCAGCACTCCAACCCCTAAAATAATAAATCTATGAAATTACTTTGCAGCTTCATATCTCACGTTTCATTTTATTGATAAAATTGAGGATTTTTTTTCCTTTGTGAATTTTGTACTTCACTTTTATCCTCTGCCTCCTGCTCCCTTTCCCCACCCCCCTCAAGTCTAACAAATGGGAGGCTCACTTTAAATTTTAAGGGCACTGCAAATGCATTTTTGGTCCTCGCTTTGTAAAGTAAGAATAAAAACAAGAAATTAATTTAAAAAATTTCAGTTTTCTAATGTCCAAGTATTTTGCCATAGGTGCAGCACTGGAGATAAATACCTGCAATATCACAAACCACAGGACAGACATGGATATTGGAAAAATAATAAGCCACAAATTATCTTTTATTAAATATTTACTTCTTTAGTCTATGAACAGACCATTTAGCACTACACTCATACAATCAAAGACAAAGACTGTTAGATGGACCAAAAACTCTAGTACATTTACCAACATACCTTATCATATGGCAAAAGGCCTTTCAAAGGAAAACGAAGTGTCGCAGGATCCAATTTCCATGAATTACAAATGGCACCCGAGTTATTTACAACTGGCAAAAGGCTGCAGCGGCCTGTATGCATTACAAACAATGTTTTTTAGTAAATGCAAAGATAGCAATGCCTGGTCTGTCATTCATTCTAAAAATAATTACTGAATATGTGTGCTAACCAAATGCATTTAAAAATGTGTTAGATGGAAGTTTGGGAATGTTCTTTATTGGTATAGTCCAGATGTCTGGAGACCAATTTGTACAGTAATCCAAACAAAAATGTCACCTTCGTCCATGTCTAAGACAGACTAGACGTAAGCAACCTATAATCCATTGGCCAATCCAGTTTGCACATTTCTGTAGTTTTACTGGAACTCTGCTACTTTCACACTACAATGGCAGAGGTGAATAGTTACCACAGGTTAGATAGCCCACAATGCCATATTTACTATATGGTTTTTTACAGAGAAAGTTTGTAGACCTCTAGTCTAGAGTCACGATGACTAATTTTGTGCAGCTGTCCCAGAGGCCATAGAGGCAACAATATGACCATTAGCCTACACATTCAACAGCATAATGGATATTGCCACTTGCATGTCACATAGGCATCTTGTTTTAAAAGATGTATTTTTATTTATTTATGCATATAAGAACTGGGGTGTAGGACAGAGGTGCAGAAGCCAGAGACAGGTCCAGAGACAGAGTGGGGAGCAGAACAGGCAGATCTACTGAAATACACTGCTGATGGGAGCAGCAGGCAAGACAGGAGAGGTCTGCTGCACCATGTGGGTTAGCTTCCTGGCCGGGGATCGAACTCATGCTGCAGTGGCTAGTGATAGCTTGATAGTGCTGAGACTTTAACCCCTGAGCCACCAGGGAGACCCACAAACATAGACCAAAACTGTACCACTTCTATAATTTATTGAATGTTCAATTAATTCCCAAAGCAAGAAGCCTGAAACTTATCTGTCTAATGTCTATTTATTTTTGTATTTCCAAGATCTAGAAAAGCATCTGGCTCATAGGAAGTGCTCAATATCTGATTATTGAATAAATAATGATCTATTTTCCAGATAGCCCTGAAGCAACCATAATTTCTAGAAATAATTCCGGAGTATATGAGCACTGCAAAGACTGCCAAATCATATGCTTATTTCTAAAAGAAATAAAGATAATCTAACAAAAAACAATAAAAAAAGGAAAATCACATAAGTTACAAACAAAGGTACAAAGTCATATGAACAGAAACTGATAGTCTATGTATTGTGGCCAGAGGAACAGTTAGTAACTGAATGTCTAGTTACCTAGAAACCACAGTTCTTTACTATCTCTATTAAGTCCCTTTAATCACTAGGAAACATACGTTCTTGGATAGTTCTATCTGAAGCTTAGACCCAGCCTACCTGCTCAGCAAAGTAACTGAAGACAAGCAACAGGTTATTTTTAAGCAACTAGAGAGTTATTAATAAACATATTGCCATCAAGACATTTATAAGATACTACCTTTGTTGACTAGATCAACTAGTCAACAGGTATACTAGTCAATTAGTCACTAAAAATGAGGTACAATAATGTATATTTTAAATTATAAGCCTACCACAAATGGAATTTATCCTTGCTGTGGGCCTGAATGTATCCACAAAGTCTGAGACCAGGTTTCCAAGTAACTGAAAACAAACAAATAAACAAGAAAACAAAATAAGAATAAAAATAAAATCAAGATAGCTTTGATTACAATCATCATTTACATAAAGTGAGATAATAGATAAAGATTTAGAACACCGCCTGGCACATAAAAATTATTTAAAGGTTATTTTTCTTTTTTTCCTTCTAAATAATTACTTACTAGTTCACCTGACTTTGAATTAAGACATGTCCTACTACAATGTCTTTAGTACCAGATGAAGCTGTATTTATCATATAGTCTATAAACTGTCTCAATAGGACAGAGAAATGAAAGAAATACACCATAGTGAATTAAAAAAATACATATTACCTAAGGATAAAAGTGACCATTTTTAAAAACAATGGTCCTGAAAAAAGAATCATTTATAACTAATTTTGACTAAAAGTTTTTTTAACAGTTTTGGAAAACATAAAATTTACCCAGTGTGGAAGCTTTCCCTCAGGATATAGTTTCCTGATCTCTGTGACAGCAAAATAGGCTGGTAATAAGCAGGCATTTCTTTCCAAGATATAGGCTATAACCTAAGAAAAACAACAGGGAAATGTATCTATCATTCTTGATGAGTCCTGCTAAGCCGTTTAAATGCAATGATAACAGCTAAGATGTTAAAAAGTAGAGATACTGATTCATGGATTGATTGAGATTATTTAAAGTACAAAGGAATATTTAATATGTGAAGAACTTCTAAAAAATGGTTAATAAATAATGAATTGCTGATGTAGTAAATAACAATGAAAAAATTTTAAGTGTTGATAGGCTCAAATAGAAGAGCAACAAACCAATATAACATTTCTCACATTAGTGACAAAGCACAAAGAACTTTTAATGGCGTCATAGGCTGACATATTATAATAGTTAAAAATACTTTAATATCTATATTGTCGCTTTCATAATTGAAAATTATAAATTATAAATTAAATACAATTTAAAATTTCCTTTTGGAATGTAACAAAAGTGAAATAGCATTTTTAAAAATACAAGCAATTTTTACTCAGCATTCAAAAAAGATAAACACATGCAATTTGCAGCAACATGGATGGCGCTGGAAGGGATCATGCTCAGCGAAATAAGCCAGAAAGAAAAAGAAAAATACCGGATGGTCTCACTCATAGCAGGAATCTAGAAAACTTAAATAAGGGACCAGGAAAATGAATATAAGAAAGTGAAAATCAAAATCAACAAAAAACTATGAACCAGAGACACTTTTTGGGGGGTGGGGGGCGGGAGGGGAAGGATTGGTGTCAGAATGGGGCGTTTGCAATTGTATGGGGGAATATAAAAATAAAATTTAATATTAAAAAAAAAAAAAAAAAAAAAAAATACAAGCAATTTTTGTTTAAGTAAACAAATGGAATATTCCACAAACTACTAAACATTTTAAAAGTAGCTAACTATATAAAACTCGACTTTTTAAAGGTTATGAGCAATGAATTGCAGGCATGTATTAGTTACCTCCCTTGCTGCCAGAAGCTGTTGTACAACAGCTGAGCTCACTGTATTGGGAATTGTCAGGATTTTCTCCAAAATCACTTTTAAGAGATCTCGAACACCCTGACAAAAGAAAAAAAACAAAAACAAATTAAAACTAAGTAATGTCTCTTGTGCTGCTTAAAACACCTATAGGCTTCAAGATTATATATTCAGGAAGTTATCTTCCAATTATTTTATTTTTCTGAATGAACAATCAAGTTTTAACACTAACACAAGAGAATAATCATTTTCACAATAGATCCTGTATTAGCAATCTGATAATGTCTTTCATTTTTCAGTATGTTTTGAAAACCTAGGTACATTAACAAAAACAAAAAAATCAAAATACAATTCTAAAATGTCTTGTGATGTGAATGAACAATGAAAGTCACTGATAAATAATAATTAAGCTTTCCACATTTAGAAACATTAAGGGGATTTTCATGGCAACAAATACCAAACAAGCTTGATGTGCTTATGAACAGAAATATATTTGAATAAGACTTAAAAATACTTTGAAAACAGGAGTAGTGATATTAAACTGTCCAGAAGATGCTGCTGCTGTCTGCTCAACTCTTTGGCATATTCTAACTTTACTCATCCTTCTCCTCCATCACATACCTTAAGCCCTCAAATTTATTAAGACTATTCTGATAACTGGCCATTTCCTAATATCTTCTACCCGTTACATTATTTCAGAACTGATAATGACATAAAACCAATTTTCGTTAAACATTTATTGAGTGTAAATATGTGACCAATCTTGTAAAAAGAAGATAGAACATACACATGGAAGAAAATGCAAAGAATTATAAAACACCATACTAATAGAGAAGAGAGTAAAAACTGCATTATTAACCTGCTAAGGAAAATGAAGTACTTACAAAGAGAAAATAATGAGAAAAGGCTTCTTAGAATTAATTTTGTGTTACATCACGATTCAAATCAATTACTATTTGTTAGGTCATTATCTGTTAACTCATTTCAGATTAGAGAAACTGCAGGCATAAAGCACAGGATCAGATATTAGCACTTTTTTCAAAAAGAACAATAACAGAAGTAAATTAAATGAAGCAAAATGGCTTTTGTAGCTATGGAGATAATGGGCTGTATTATAAGAAATAATTAGAGAATGAATGCTAATGTTTTGGTCAAGAGCGGGGTACTTAAAATACTAGTGAAAGAAAGGCAGAAGTCTAAAGGAGGTCAAGATAGAAATAAAGCAGAACTTGTTCACCTTGATGCCTACATCCCCTTTCAGTTCCACATACCCGTTTTGTGCTCTTTCATTAGAAAAGGGACACACAACGCATTATAAGATCTGGGACATGAAGGGAACCCAATTCTGCCTGGCTACTTCCCTACATATCATAAAGATAGATAAGTCACCTACACTTTAAAGAATACTGTGAGGGGAAGAGAGAGCTGTAGGAAGACTGAGCTCCCAAATCCCTTTGAGAAATACAACAAAAAATGGATTTTTAAAAAGTTTCCATTTCATTTCTCTCATCTGAAAAAAAGTTATTTATCTATACTGAAAATGTATTATGCCTGAAAGTGATCACCTTTTACAGTTAAGAAAAAATACCTTATAATCCACTCCTCCAATTATTTTCCGAACAAGTTTAAATGTTAAGGCCCAAAGCTGTGTTCTCTCCCATTCAAGAGTATCAGAGTTTATCAGGGATTCACAAACCATCCTAAAAAAAAAATACTTTTTCTGGTTACAACAGAAAATTTTGCAAATTCTTTAACAGCCAAAGTTTGTGTTTTGACATCATATTTGTTAAGAGTATTTTGTTTCACAGAGATGCATCACATACTCAAGCATACTTTTTAAAAAATGTGTACAGTGGGCCTCCCCGGTGGCACAGCGGGTTGAGCGCAGCACTGTGAAGCTGTCTGAAGCCTCTTTAGCGCCGGTTCAATTCCCGGCCGGCCAGCAAGCATCCCACACAGTGGGACAGACCTCTCCTGTCTTGCCCGCTGCTCCCCTCAGTGGTGGACTTCGGTCCGTCTGCCTGCTCTGTTCCCTACTCTGTCTCTGGTGAATCCTCTCACCTCCCGCATCTCTGGCCTGTACTTGTATAAAAATAAATCTTAAAAAAAAAAAGTGTACAGTATTTTATATTTTTTTACTTGCATGAAACATTAAACACAAAGAAATAAATAATATTCATTCTGTTATATTTTCACTAGAAATCAATCTACCAAAAGCTAGTGATTAAGTGGTTACCATCTATCAGTTGGGGGCAATCTTTATTTTTCCAAAATGGCAACAACAAGATTTTTGAACACACCGACTCTTCAGAAATGTGATACGGACTCTCCTCCCATGGAGAAGTGGGAGGAAGAGATACAATTGCTTTCTTTAAACATGTGCAATCTAAGACTACAGCAAGAGGGACTGTTAGACTCTCAAGACAAGATTTCTACAGCTTCTGCCTAACTCTTTTTTGAATGCTTGTTAGTAGACTCTAACATGCTTTGAGAAAGTCCAAGAAAAGGGATGGGTAGGTACTGGCTGATTGTCCCAGGTGAGGTTCCAGATGACTGCCAGTCTTTGTGATGGAGAATTCCAGTGCTAGTCACCATCTCACTGTAATCATGATAGTCTGAGAAAAAACTGCCTACTAACTTATCAACAACCATAACCATAAAGGTAAATAAAAGTATTATTGTTAGTTCAAGTTATGGAGAGTTGAGATAGTCATCGGGCAGTAGAACAAGAACAAGCTCATCAAAGTGAATGAGCTTGGCTCATCAAAGGCAAAGCAAAGCCTGCCTCATTTTACAGCCTTATGTGTATTAGGTATGGCCTTAAGTATAAGGCCTTATTCTGAGAACAATACAGCCCAGAATTAGAACTAGAGGTTTTAGGAATAACATAATTACTCTTGAGCTTAACTTTATTCCCTTACCACTTTACAGCAATTTCAACTAATTTTCAAACATTAATAAAAAGGAAAATTCTTTAGGGGCCTCCCCTGGTGGCACAGTGGTTGAGCACTGGGCTGAGGGGCTGCCCGCAGCCTCTGCAGCGCGGGTTTGTTCTCCAGCCTCCGGCAAGGGTCCCACCAAAAAAAAAAGGGAAAATTCTTTGTATTGCTCACACCCACATCAAACATACCTGGGTGGAAGAACACCAGTTTCAACTGCCATTGCTAAGCAGTCATAAAGAAATGAAATTCTTTTAGGGCTATGCTGGCCATGAATGAATTTAACAATCCACTGGATGCACTGTTCATGAGATTCCTAAAAATTAGAAAATTAATATATTTTATTCTAAAGCTATATTCTGTAACTAACAAACAGCTAATACAAGATCTAGGTATATAAATGAGATACTCCACTATAATATTCATGGATAAAAACAGTTTTATAAAAGTAAAATGAAATAATTTCACACTGAGTGAAATCAAAACCTTACAATTATATAGATTAAACTTACTTTCTTACAAGGGATCTCCAAAAAGAATAAAACAGTATTAACATAATCACAATGAATAGAAAAACCTAGCACACATTGTGTGGGGCACTGTAAGCAGGGCCCTTAGTGGATGATATAAATATTCCTGTCACTGGGGGAACAAATCCACAATGGGTTATTCATATAAGCCTCATGAGAATTCAGTGTGCATCTAATTCTGATAACCCTAATCATTTGTGAAGCGAATAGCATATCAAATTTATCAAATTTCTAGACTTGCAAACTTTAAATTTGATATCAAATGCAGTGCTCATATCAAAAATTGCTTTCTAAGATATTTTTCTTAAAGATTTATTTATTTATTTATTTTCAGAAGATTTATTTATTTATTTATACAAGCACTGGGTACAGTCAGAAGCACGTGAGGGTGAGAGAATTCACCAGAGCCAGAGCAGGGAGCAGAGCAGGCAGAAGGACCGAAGTACACTGCTGAGGGGAGCAGCGGGCGGCAGGAGAGGTCTGCGAGCCATGCGGGACCCTCCTCTGGTGGCCAGGGAGCAGCTGGGGATCGAACGGGTGCTGTAGAGGCTGCAGGCAGCTTCGCAACCCAGCGCTCAACTGCTGTGCCACCGGGGAGGCCCGATTTATTTATTTTTATACAAGAACTGGGGTACAGTCCAGATGCGTGGGAGGGTGAGAGGATCCACCAGAGACAGAGCAAGGAACAGAACAGGCAGACTGAAGAAACGATCCCACGCTGCAGAGGCTGCGGACAGCTTCACAGTGGGGCGCTCAACCGCCTGCGCCACCAGGGAGGCCCTGCTTTCTAAGATACTTTCAAGAAGAACTTGCTGATTCTCTGCATTACAGCTGTCCCTTATACATACTTCTATTGTTGTACGTACAATGTTGATTTAGACATAGTTATTTTCTCCCCGACTGACCTATTCCAATACAAACTTCTGGAAGATGATGGGCATACCTTAACTCAAAATGCTTAATGAATTATTAGAAAATTAAAATATGGTTGGAAAGAAGAACATCATCAGATAAATAAAATAAAATTCTATTTTCTCATGTTTTACATTGGCAATGAGCAATAAGTTCATTATCATTCTCTTGTGAGGGATAGGGAACAGATATTCTCATACACTGCGAAAGGGAGTACAAAAATGGTGACCTTTTTGGAAAGCCATTAGGCAATTCCTATTAAAATTACAACTGGTAAGTCTTTTGATCCAGCAATACTATTTCCAGGCATATATTCTGTGTCCTGTGTATATTATTATTCATTGTAGTATTGTTTAAAATGGAAAAGGTAGGGCCGCCCTGGTGGCACAAGGGCTTAAGCAACACACTATGAAGCAATTTGCAGCATCTGCAGCACGAGTTTGATCCCTGGCCTGCCAGGGAGCAAAACCCAAGTGGCAAAGCAGACCTCTCCTGTCTTGCCCACTGCTCCCCTCAGCAGTGTATTTTACTCAGTCTGCCTGTTCTGGCCCCGACTCTGTCTCTGGTGAATCCTCTCACCCCCCGCATCTCTGGCCTGTACCCCAGCTCTTATATGCATAAATAAAAAAAATCTTTAAAAAAAAATAAAATAAAATGGAAAAGATAAGAAACAACTATCCATCAGTAAGTAGAGGACTTGTCAAGTAAAAGAAGGTACAGGCAGAAAACCGAACATTATGGTGCTAAAAGAAAGTATAAAAGGAAAAAAAAAAAAGAAAGTATAAAAGGAAGGCAGAAGTAGTTTTTAATGGAGTGATAAAGAATTACTTTCAGGGGCCTCGCTGGTGGCACAAAGTGTTAAGCCTCAGCACTGTGAAGCTATCAGCAGCCATTATAGCACGGGTTCAATCCCCAGTCAGGGAGCTAACCCACATGGTGGAGCAGACCTCTCCTGTCTTGCCCGCTGTTCCCCTAAGCAGTTTATTTTAGTAGATCCACCTGTTCTGCTTTCCACACTCTGTCTCTGGTGAATCCTCTCACCGCCCAGCACCTCTGGCCTATACCTCAGCTCTTATATGCATAAGTAAATAAATCTTTAAAAAAAAAGAATTTCAGATGATATTAAGGTGAGTAGGGGAGCAAGGTGTTCGAACAGTACACACAGTACATGACCAGTGGCATAAAAATAATTCTATACACTTATTTCTAGATGAAACATAAACTGAGATATGAGCTAAAGACATGAAAAAGAACAGGTGATTAAGTGAAGAAAGATGGAAAGCAGATTATGCACTGGTTTATCTTTGCATTTTGAACCATGCATATTACCTAACAGAAAATAATTAAAAATGAATATATTGCAAACATGCGATCTATGCCTGAGTAGCAAGTATATATATATATATTTTAAGATTTACTTATTTAGGGCCTCCCGGGTGGCGCAGCGGTTGAGCGCTGAGTTGCGAAGCTGAGTTGCCACAGCCTCTGCAACACCGGTTCAATCCCCGGCCACAGGGCAAGGGTCCCACATGGCACGCAGACCTCTCCTGCCACCCAGTGCTCCCCTCGGTGGTGTAGTTTGTCAGTTTGCCTGCTCTGCTCTCCGCTCTGCCTCTGGTGAATTCTCTCACCCTCCTGCGTTTCTGACTGTATCCAGTGCTTGTATAAATAAATAAAATAAAATCTTAAAAAAAAAAAAAAAAAGATTTAGGGCCTCCCCGGTGGCGCAGTGGTTGAGCGCTGGGTTGCTAAGCTGCCCGCAGCCTCTGCAGCGCCGGTTCAATCCCCGGCTGCTCCCTGGCCACCGGAGGAGGGTCCCGCATGACGCGCAGACCTCTCCTGCCGCCCGCTACTCCCCTCAGCAGTGTACTTCGGTCCTTCTGCCTGCTCTGCTCCCTGCTCTAGCTCTGGTGAATTCTCTCACCCTCCCACACTTCTGACTGTACCCAGTGCTTGTATAAATAAATAAATAAATCTTAAAAAAAAAAAAAAAGATTTACTTATTTATGTATACAAGAACTGGATGGTAGGCTAGAGGTGTGTGGGGTGAGAGGATTCACCAGAGACAGAGTGGGGAGCAGAACAGGCGGATCCACTGAAATACACTGCTGAGGGGAGCAGCAGGTAAGACAGGAGAGGTCTGCCACACCATATGGGTAATCTCCTTGGCCAGGGATAGCTTGATAATGCTGAGGCCTCCCTGGTGGTGCAGGGGTTAAAGCCTTGGCTACGGTAACATGAGTTTGAGCCACCAGTGGCTCAAGTGCAAAGAGTTCCATTTTCCTATCTATAAAGCACCATGAGAATTTAATGCACTAATGGAACACTAACTCATTAAGGAACATATGCTTTGTTTTTTTAACACATACATTTTCTAGTGACTGTTCTTTCTAAATTTTACCTCTTCATTTTCTTGTTTTTATTATAATATCTCTGTATCCTATTGTAGAAACTTACTACAACATTTTTGTATCTATACTACAGATTCTTTACTACAATATCTTTGTTTCAGTGCTGTGACAGCTCCTTTGAAGAAATGAAATTTTTCTCCTTTAAAATGTCTAAAGGCTGTCTGTAAGTATACCAATAAATCAGAATAGGATGAAAATGATTTTATGTAATCTAACATGGGGACATTTAAAAAAAAGTCTAACAATAAAGAATCTCCATTGGAAGTATAAACTGAAACAAGTAGAAACCAGAATATACAAATAAAAGATGATGACAATTTTCTCTTTTCTCAGAAAGATCTTAACAATAACATCAAAGTAAATGTAAAAAAAAGGGGGAGGGAAGTGCAAAAAAAAAATCACTCGGTGAATGGATTAAAAATGTAGTACTCACCTGAGACAGACCACTCCAGAATTGTCTGAATGCTCCCAAGCAGCTAATTAATTTTGTTTTTTCATCTTCGGGGGTATCCATAAACATGCTAAAAGACAAAGACCAGTTTTTTGCCACTAGTTTTAAAAAGATAATTCAACATAATCAGATTAGTTGATCTTATAAACCTCCATGACTAAGTTTTACAAAAACACACTAGTGTGAAAATGCAAAAATCTGCCAAGCGTATACTCACCCAGGAAAAGCCTCTTCTATAATTTCCGTTTTCTATTTAAAAAAAAAAAAAAAAAAAAAGGTGTAAACTGTGAAATTTCTGTATAGGAGGGGCCTCCCCGAAGAAAATATTACAGAATACATCGATCAAGTCATCTTAATCAGGAACACACAGAAGCGAACAAACCAGTCTGGCCTGTCCCAAAGGGTTTTGCGGATTTCAAAGGAGAACTTTGAAATTTGACAGCAACGTGAGAATCGTTAACACCCTGCACACAAGCTCGGTGTCAAAACAAAGGAGCGCTGGGAAAAGGGTTCCCGGGGCTGAGCTCCTTGATCGACGGCCCCCAAGTCTCCCCAACACCCAGCCAAGGCCCCGAATCCCCGGTCCCACTCACCACCACCTCCTCAAAAATGCTCTGCAGCTGCGTCTCCATCTGTACCACCGCCCGGCCTTCCTCGGGGCGCACTGCGCCCCTCGGGTCTGACCCGAGCTCCGGGAACAGAGGAGCACTTGGGGCAGAGGAGCCCCCAAGACCCAATCAGCCCCGATCACTTTTCCCGACAGGCCTCCACTGCGAGCCGTCCCCGCCTCCGCCCAACAAGCAGCCGGAACCTGCACGGAAGACCGGAAGCGCCTGGTCCTCGCAGATTACGGACCTGACAGAAACTAGGGACCAGCTAGGTGGTTCCGACTATGGAGCAGCCTGTAACCCGCGAGTCGGACCAGGACGCCCCCAGTGGATTCGCGAGCCTAAGTTACCCCCGACTTTGTCGGCTACAGGCTGCCACCGTCTGGCTGCAGTGGGACTTGCTTCCTGCTTTGTTTTGTAGACTGGAAAAGAAAAAAGTTGGAGTAAGGGTCAGCAGCTGGCGGGAAATGCTCTTTCGGCTCTCTGCGTCAGTTTGGTGTCTGTGGCCTCAGCAGCATGGAACCCAGAGCTGAAACCACGCTTTTCCTGACCACAGGAATCGTGTCTTCTCCACCACAGTAAGCTCAGTGCCTTGCATAATGCCCGACCTATAGCCAGATTTCGATGAAAGTTGAAAAAATCTAACGAATGTGTTATTAATTTTTGTTAGTCATCGGATTATATCTAGCATTTTTTAGTTATAATTACCTAAAAATAATAACATTTACCAATTACTGAATGCCTATAGTCTCTGGTGGGAGTTGGTGTGGACTGGAGTGGCAGAGGCATGTTCAGAGCAGATGCCTAAGAGCACTAATTGGTGTGCCTCCTCTTCCCCCTTTCTATTTTTTCAAGCATGGAGGCTTACCCTCCTCCTTCAAGGTGATCTAGGGGGTCTCGTCTTTATCTTCATATAACATTGTGTGCCTAATGGAATATTTTTTCACCATCTCCCCAATGCTAGACCTAAAGGTGTTAGGTTTTTAAATAAACTGTATTGCAGCAATCGATGTGCAAAATGTCCATGATGGAGGACAAGAATAGAAAAACTGGAAAGGAGGCTTCACAAGACTAAAACCTGATTCACACAAGGAGGTGGGGGTGGAGCGGAATAACATGACCATTAACCCAGCTGTAGAGGTCATGACCCATAGGCACCAGGGCCTTGTCACAAGGTATGAGCCCCAAGCAGGATCAGACTCCTGTAGGGAGTGGAGCACAGGCCTGAGTGTAAAGAGATGGAAATTGGGCCCACTCTGGAATCTCTGGTCCCTTTCTTGTTTTGCCAACATCGGCAACAAGCAGGCCACTCCACGGAGGAGTGACCCCTCCCAAAGAGAAAAGGACTACATCAATGCAGTCTCTGCACAGGCTCAGGGCAGCCCTCCCACTGCCCACCTGTGATTATGCAGGTGCCTCTTTTCACCAACTCTGTGTCTTTGCAGGGCAGCAGCTTTCTGGCTGCCCGTGATCTGTACCTGGCAGGACTTCTCTTCACTGACCTCCCTCAGCGGAGGCCTCTCTCCTCAAGGCCGCGCACGCCTGCAACCACGCAGGCCTCTCTCAGCAAACCTGTCCCTTTCCCTAATAAACCTGCACTTTAAATATAACTAATGTCTCTGTCTCATGGAGAAACTCGCCTGGAAAACTCACCGTGTACCCCTGAAATGGGAGCTCTGGTGAAACCTTTCCCAGAGTGAATCCAAGGACCCCACAACTTCACAAAACAACATCATTTTGGCACCCAACGTGGGGCTCTTCACATCATCTGGTGCCAACATCATTTTGATGCCCAACGTGGGGCCCACAAAACTACATCATCCAGGCTGTAAGAAAGACAGAAACAGAATTATGAAAATCAAAGTACCATAACAATATATTGTTCATTTTTGTTTTCTAAACAGATTATTCTATTGTGGGTTTTCTTTAATCAGATACACTTCTAAAACTCTTTGCATTTATAACCTGGCAATGCTCCATGTTCTACTCTATTTCCCAGCCAATGTATTCTAAGCAAATGCCAGCTAATCTCAATATTGTCCAGGTCTTGTATCATTTAAAGGTTTAAATAGGGGCCTCCCTGGTGGTGCAAGGGGTTAAGTGTCAGTGCTATTAAGCTATCCACAGTCACTGCAGCACGCATTCCATCCCAGCCAGCCAGAAAGCTAACTCACATGGTGCAGCAGACCTCTCCTGTCTCTCAGATGCTCCCCTCAGCAGTGCATTTCAGTCAGCCCATCTGTTCTGATCCCCACTTTGTCTCTGGTGAATCCTCTCACCCCCTACACCTCTGGCCTGCATCCCAGCTCTTGGGATAAACTTTTAAAAAAGTTTAAAAGTTCAACGGAAAAGTATATTTTTGCCATAACCAACTATAAATTAGTGCTTACGTCATGCTTGCTTATGCTCCATTCTTTGAATAAAAATTTACCATTTCTAGACTTTCTTACTGTCTTCCCAATATTCATTTTTAATTGTTGTATAACTTATATGCATTGAGATCCATGAATTTTGACAGATGTTCACATTTGTTTAACTTCTATCTCACTCAAGATATGAAATACTTTTATGACCTCAGAAAGTTCCTGGTGTTCTTCATATCTAAACTGTTTTATTTTATATATTCATTAATTAGTTTGTTCTTGTGGTTTTTTTTTTTTAAAGATTATTTATTTTTGCATACAAGACCTGGGGTACAGGCCAGAGGTGCAAGGGGTGAGAAGATTCACCAGAGACAGAGTGGGGAGCAGAACAGGCAGATTGACTGAAAATTCCTGTGGTCTGTTTCCCTGGAAATTAATTAAGTAAATCCTTCAGCGGGCGAGCCAGGAGAGGTCTGCTGCGCCATGTGGGTCAGCTCCCTGGCCAGGGATCGAACTTGTGCTGCAGTGTCTGTGGATAGCTTCATAGTGCTGCATCTTAATCCTTGCGCTACCAGGGAGGCCCTTGTTCTTGTAATTTGTAAAGTTGGAATCACACTGTACATACTCTTTTGTGCCTAGCTTCTTCCATACATTGTGTTTTGAGACCCACTATGTGTATTGGTGCTCAGTAGTAAGTATTCCATAGTATGAATATAGTACAACTTATGAATTCACAAATTATCTGATGGATCCAGTTGTTGTCAGAATGAGGATAATGCTTCTGCTCTGACTCTATCCAGTTCCTCTGTTGATCTAATGGAAACCACCTTCTATTGCTGTTCCAAAAAGAGAAGTCCACTCTCCTGGTTGGTGTCCATCCAGCAGGCCTGGGGTGGGAGCTTAAGTCAGAAGACTCTATCTTAGCAAATTGCAAATACAGTGACTCGGGGACCTGGAGAGCACAATTCTGACAGTGGCTGACTAGAAGGACAATAGAACACAAATTTAACCAACAAAGTTATGCCTTAGGACAAGTAACAACAGTAGGAATCCAGCCTGCAGTGTTTTTCTAAACCATAAACTAATGTTCCCTAAACCATAAACTAATGTTTCCTGAAAATTAATTAAGTAAATCCTTCAGAGGGTCAGTTTTCTCATTTGTTATAGTCAATGAATGTCGTCTTTTAAATTTTGCTTAAGAAAGTGTGTCTGTGGGAGTCCCAGGGTGGGCTCCTGGACTCTCATGCTGACTGGGGGCATGTTCTCATAGGGTGCCAGGGAGGCGATTCCCCAGGATGATTGTGGCTCACTTTCAGCACAGGGCTCGGCTCTTCCTGCTACATCTACATTCCCCTTTCAGACCATGGTGTCCTGAGAAGTTCTTTTAAATAACTGGCCTTCAAAAGGACTTTAACACTCAAAATCTGTATTAGCAGTTATATAAACTGTACCATCTGACCCAGAACCAGTTGGTTAAAATACTAGGAGCCACCCCTGTGCCAAATGAGCACCTAACTAGCCTAGAAAGCTGCTCAGTAATGGCCCATGCAAAGCCCTGATCCTGAAGAGACACAGCACATCCCCGAGCTGCCATGAAGGAGACAAACTGGCTGGACCTACAGTTAATGCCAGAATGAAAGGCAGTTTGGGAACCTCTCTCCTGCAACCACCCATCTTCCCCTAACCACAGGATGGAGACACCCCAGTGGGTGTTTTCGTTGATTCTTTCTGTGTGTGTTTCTATTTCTTCTAAGGTGTTTGTCCAAGCACAGGAAGTAGTATTAGCTATAGTACATGTGCCTCCTTGTTTTGATAACAGATAATCTAAAGCAGTGTTGTTATCTGAAACAACCCATGTGAGAGAGTTCAATGTCTACTCCCGGGCAGCAGTAGTCTCAGGTACTTACCTGTAAGGAATTCCAGCTAAGCGATTTTTTTATACATGAAGGAGTAATAAAATTTCCTGAGAGTTATTGCCTTCCTAGTTGTCAGCTGTTTAGTGGATCTATGTTGGCTCAGGGTGGTTACCACCTGACCACAAGCATGTATTTATTTTTGAGGAGTACAAACAGCTCCAAGAGTTATTTCACTAATATATTTAACAGCAAGGGTGGCATTTATATCTAGGAGCTAAGGTTTTGAAAAGGTTTGGTTGACATCATTCATATGGCATCTAATCCCTTTAAATATTTAGCATGATCTGGGCTCTTCTGGTCATACATGGATTAGGAAAATAAGAGAGTGATTGTGGGGGACTTGGAGGCAGAGGCATCTTGTAATTGAAAGTAGTTCTGACAAATTAAAACAAAGCATGAGGGTATTAAGGTGGTAAGTGAACTTTTATTAATTTTAACAGGAAAAAAAAGAAAAAGATTTAAGCTTTGGAAAGATGGTATGAAAATACACTGAGACATTTGAGCTACTTCTAATCAAATTGAAGCAGAATCAGAAACATTAACAAATAACTGATTGAAATCTTGAAGAATTTCTGTTACACTGTAGGAGTTATTGGATATTTCTGATATTTCCAGTAAGTTGTAAGTTAAGATACTGACTCATTTTTCTACCTCACACAAATACATTATATTGTTATTCAAGTTATTTAAATATGAAAGTAAAACTTTTCGGTATAAATTACTACTGTTAGCATTGTATTGTTTTTATATATATATATATATATATATATATATATATACTTTATGTAAAATTAAGATACTTTCAAAAATGGTAAGATAATACTCTTTAAGTAAAAAAGCTTAAAATAGCATATTGTGCCAGTTCAGCATAGGAGCAGTGGGTTTTGAGGAAGTCAAATTTGAACCAGTGCTG